TAAGAGTCTCACGTTAATATAAGAAAAAGATCAAGTGAGCATAATACAAGTGAGAGAGATGGCAACACATTAATTATTTTAGGGCTAATATTATCTTTTAAGTTATAATATCGTGTAATAATTTTCGCAAGTGCAAATTGTTAAAAGCTATATAATGATAAGTCAAATGTCGAATTAAAGTAAAATAAACGTTGAAAGTTAAAGTTATATAATTTAAGTGGCGAGTTGACTGCAACATAAATTAATAGACACTAATCTAATTTGTTAATAGACATTTATGAAATGTTGAATATATTTTATCAAGCTTCGCTGCATCAACTAGCAGCAATGTCAATAATTTATTTTATACTAAAGTAGTAATAACTCCTTTCTCAAATTCAAAACACGTTAAAATCAGGGTAATATATTGTTAATAATGTGTTTTTTTAAATTGTTTTTAGTTAATTTTTTGTTGTTTCAATTTATTATAACAGTGTTATAATTAATAAGTAGTTTCTATATTTCAATTTATTGTTACAAAAATTATTTTTAACATCAATTAAAAATGATATATATGCAATTGATATAATAAGTTAAGACTTTTTACATCCATTATAATAAGTAATAAAAAAAATTCATTTTTTACATCATTAATAAACTAACTGATTTTAAAGAATAATTAATTAATTTTTTATTATTAAAAAATTAATTTACTTAAAAAGTTATAAATTTTATATCAGTTCAAATTTAAACCAATAATATAAAATACTTTATATATAAGTTATTTTAGCCGATCTTAAATTGAATAAATAATTGCTTACATTTCACACAGTTTAACTAAAACACATTATAAGAAAAGATCAATGACAATGAAGCAGTATCCACTCTTGAAGATTACATGGAAAAATGGAGTTTGTTTGTTTTCTATTTTTGAAAATATTTTTTAAAATAAAAGAAATAATTTTTTTTAACATAAATTCAGTTTTTTTAACTTCTTAAAATTATTTTTTTAAAATTGTTTTAAAATATAATTTTTTAAAAATTAAAAATTAAATAGAAATAAACAAAGTCCATATTGTTAATTTTCTCTCCTTTTGGATTTCTGTTACCTTATTGATGATAAGAATAAAACTTTGCTTAATTCTGTCCACCATAAAGGCTTTGAAGTTGGATTTTTCTTTTCCAAAATCCCCTTGAAATAATACGCCTAAAAATCGAAATGAAATACGAAAAAGGTAAAACAGCAAAATTATGCAAAATCTAAAATAATAATCAAGATAAAATAAAAATAAAAATTACATCAGATAAAACCCTAAGAAGACAAATCAAATATCTGAAATGGGGAAGGAAATGATAGACAAATGCAAGAGGTGAAAGTTTAAACCTAATTATGAGTGATTCTTATGTTGTCAGCATTAGGAGCTTATATAATCGTGAAAATAACTAGTTAGTGTGCAGCCACATTTCATGCATATCGTACCTAATTACAGGGAGTCTCCTTAAATAGGACACAAAATGATGTATGCAAATGGGTATATTTAACATGTCGACTTTGTTCTTTTTGTTAGTTTTGGCCATCTTCTGGTTCTTTACATCAAGTGGAAAATTCAAAAAGCTATCGTAAAGTTGCTCACAGGATACACATTCTGACCTTGCTTATGTTTCAACTCTAGTACAAAGTAAAATAGAATAAAATTACAATAACCATCATTTAGATGTTTTATAATGTAACAGAGTAATGTTGGCCTTAATTATATTTTTTATTTCTTTAGTTTGATAAATGTACGATATTAGTTCACTTAATCTTTTAGCTAATTAAGCTTTTATACTTTTAATATTATACTATTTTAGTTTTATCTAAAGTACTCAATTTTTTATTAAAATTTCAATAATTTTTTTTTTTCAAAATTCATCGATCCAAACACTAAATTGAATTGATTATTTTTTTCAAATCTCAATCTTATATTTAAAAAAATAATAAATCTTGTCAAATTTTCACTTTTAAACATTTAAAATTTATTTATATAATGAATTTATCATAAATTCATCAAATATTTTGATAGAACAAATAATTTTAAATACATCAAAGACAATATCAGGATTAAATTTGCATAATCTTAACAATAGAGAGACTTAATTAGCTAAAAAGATTAAGTAACAAATTAGACATCCTTTCAAATTAAAGAGACTAAAAATATATTTAACTCAATCAAATTTTTATTCTATTAATTAAAGAATAAAAAATAGTGAGTAATAAATTAGTTTTATTTTATTTCATATTTTTAACTTAAACTAAAAGAAAATATAGATATTAAATAAAATAAAACAAAATATATTGCATCTATAATATTTTATTTTAAATAATTTTATAAAATTAATTAAAATTATTTTTATTTTATTTTTTATAATATTTTTATTCTATGAAACATAACTAAAAGTAATCTCTCCTAGCAATAGAAGCGGAGAAAAGTAAACAAATTAAGATAATAGAAAGCATGCCATTGCTATAACAGACACTTCAAATCTTATCTTCATATCTTTCTCTTTCCATCCCACTCATACAGTATCTAAACCGAATCTATGATAAATTATTATTATTTAATTAATTAATAACCATTATAATAATATTTTTATTTAAATTAAAGTTTATAAATATTACACTGCTTTCTCTGCCTAATACATTAAGTGTATAGGTTAGCGGAAGGAAAAAACAGTTGTTTATTTTAAAAGTATTATACAAGAAATATAAAAATTGTTTCATACTTGACATTTACACTTAATACGAATATAAGATAAAATAAAATATCAACAAAATTAGTGATTTTGTTTTTAAATTTTAATGTACACTTTAATTTTATTTTTTAATTTTTCTTTTCATTTTAGTTATTTAATTTATAAAAATATCTTAAATAGTTTTTTTTTGTTAAAAATGCTAACTTTATTAAAAGATATTATTGTTTGTTTTACTACGTGTACTGTGTAGATATTATCGTCTTCTTCATAATCTTTGTCTCCTGTTTCTCTTACATAAATTATAAAACTTTCTCAACTTTTCACAAAAAATGTACCCATATTTTTTTCAAGCTCTCGTTACCACATATTGCCATTTCTTAGCTTGCATGAACGTAAGGAACTAGTTTTTAATAAGATGAAAATCCAAATATAATTAGTTTAGAGGTTTACTTATCAATTAATTAGCATTTGTTATTTTACCCTACTAGAAAAATAATGTAAAGAACTCAAATTTGAGAGATAAAAGCTATCAATATGAATTAATACAGTAAAATGACAATATGGTACAATTATCACCATGTAATCCACTGTTAATATAGTTAAGGTTTTCTTTTAAATTTTCTTTGGACTTAACAATTTTCTAATAAATCAAGAAAAAATTATGCTGGTAACAAATTGAGGTACTTAAACAAGTCATTTTTTAAGGTAAAATTGGAGGATTCTAGAGTAGTATTTACTATATCGGTAGAAATTCAAGTAGTTGTTGCACTAGTGAAAAGGAATGTTGATACATCAATTAGAAAAACATTATCAAGCGGAAGTAGAGGGATTTAGTCATGGTAAGTGTATTGGAAAGGTTACACGGTGAATAGTTAGAAGGGTGTGTTTAGATTATCAAATTTGATGAGAGCATTCGTGGAAGTGCTATAAAATGAAGGGTTTAGATCTTCTTGTAAGGCTTTGATGGCTAATGGAGTGGTTATGCTTATAAAAATGACCAAAAAAGAGAAATATGAAGGGCAGTAGAAAGTGAAAGAAGAAGTATATCAAAGAGATTGAAGAACACAATTAAAAAAAATGACATTTAATTAAAATTTACTTTAAAGTTAAACGATGAAAACACTAATTTTGTTTAAAATATATGCTTAATATTTTCAAAAGTTGTACTAGATATTATCATTAAAAAGAACATAGAATGTATGTACGGTAACACAAATAAAAATGAACATTGTTTATTAAGATAAAATTCTTATTTAATTAAAAAAATACTAAAAATACTGTATCGTATTTTTTTTTGCATATTTTAAAGAATAATTTAAAAAATTACTATAAATGTCATAAGGAGTTAAGTAATAATAATTTTAAAAAATCAAATTGAGAATGCATGAACAATCTTAGTAAAAGTATATTAATAATCTTATTTAATAAAAAAATTCACTTTTGATTTTAAATCAATATCTAACTGTTGTCAAATTTGAATTCTCCAACATGTTCCGTCAATTTTTCTACCCGCTAGATGAAGAAATGCATTGAATGTTCTTTACATTTCTAAAACATAAACTATTCTATTATTTCATTTAATTCTTTTTTTATAAATTATATATTCTAATAAAAAATTATAAATAATAGAAATTCATGTATGCAAGTCTTTATAACTTATTATTAGACTTTTATTCAATTGAAAATATATATTTAAGTTAAAAATTATAAATAATAGAAATTCATGTATGCAAGTCTTTATAGCTCAAACGTATTCATCATAATTTTTTTTTCAATGGTTTTCCGCTGATTTTAGTTTGATTCTGGATTGAGTGTCTATGATCTTGAGATCTACGGATTTTTTAAGTTTAATCAAAATGATCAACCAATGGTTAAATCCGATTTTCAAAATAATGTAACAAGTATTTTGCACTAATCACAGCTTCAAACTCATGCAAGTGTAAAGTCTCTTTTCAGAGCACCCACAAGTTCGAATATATATGAAAAAAAGAAGTTTCTTATTACTAAATTATTCATTACAATTTTTTTTTAAAAGAACTTAATTACAAGGATGTCACACTAATAGAAGGCATAAAAAACACTGCTTTCACTTTATTCTGCTTCTTGCTCTTACATTTTCGAATAAGTTATTGCTTTAATAATAAATAAATATATAAAGATCATCATAGAAATTACACCAGAAAAAAAAAAAAGGCGACACTCCCTTGCCTACCCTAAACATGTCATTGTTATTCATCCCATGAAAGACAGAATAGTGGGAGTAGGATATCCCTAAAGCATCTGAATTTTCTTTTGTTCAACTTTTTTCCTACCATTGTCTTCCTTGTGCACGTGGTCCTGTTTGTTTTACTCAAAAAGAGGCTGTGTTATCATTCCCTCCTTACCCTATATAAAGCCATAAAACCATTCAGCTATTCACACATACACAATTACAATTGCTTCAAACTCTCAGAAGCAAATGAGGACTATTCACAGCCTCACTTTTTTCTTTCTAACCTTCATCACCATCATTCCTTCTAATGCAAAACAAACACACCCTATTGTAAATAGCCTCAGCATTGACCTTTTCCTAGAGAAAATATATGAATGGGGTAATGGAGCACAAGGATTCCAAGAAACCCAACTTCATTTTTCAGGTTCTATGGTGCTGGCAGGAGTATTCTGTTTCATAGCTTCTTCTATATCTAGTGCTGGTGGTATTGGTGGTGGTGGCCTTTTTATACCAATATTAACTATTGTGGCTGGTCTAGACCTCAAAACAGCTTCAAGTTTGTCAGCTTTCATGGTCACAGGAGGATCAATTGCAAATGTTATGTGCAATCTGTGTGCCACAAGTTCTAAATTTGGTGGCAAGTCTTTGATTGACTATGACATAGCACTTTTATCAGAACCATGCATGTTACTAGGAGTTAGTATTGGAGTTGTATGCAATCTTGTGTTCCCTGAATGGTTGATTACTATACTGTTTGCTCTTTTTCTCACTTGGTCTACCTCAAAGACCTGCAACAGTGGATTGCTGTTTTGGAAGATTGAATCAGAAGAGAGAAAGAAAAATATATTTGAGGGACTTGAAAAAGGACTACTAGAAAATGGAACAGCTGAAGAAAGGGAAGGGGAAGTTCAGGTGAAGAAAGAAAAGGAAGGGATGAAAAGTATTGAAGAAAAGCTTTTGGCTCATGAAGAAAATACTAAATTGAGAATCCCTTGGTTGAAATTGGTGGTCTTAATCTTGGTGTGGTTCTCTTTCTTCCTTCTTTATCTTCTTCGTGGCAACAAATATGGACAGGTTAGAATTTGCTCTTTCTTATTTATATGGATATTTAGTGACTTAATGCTTTACAGATTTATTAATTCGGATGCTATTCACTAGGTATATCATGATTTGTGATACTGATATTAGAATTGAACTTATAAAAACATGAAACGTGTCAAGTTATTGATAGGCATGAACAACAAGTGCAGGAGTAAAAGATTAGCGTCCCTGAATTGACCAAATTGTTAGTGTGAGACTATCTTTTTTATTTTAATTTTAAGTCCCTTTCATTGTGGTAAAATCTAGTGGAACACTAGTAGCAGAAAATCTGATGGTAGGAAGTGGTTGGACCGTTGTTTTCTTGTAGCAGCTGTATATAGTTTCTGTAAGGTTCCTGATATTAAATCATCATTGCGAAAAATTGAGTCCAGTGGTATTATGTAATTCATGTAGCTGATATCACCCAATGAGAAAAGGCTTTGGCTGTTGCTGTTGATGGTCTTGTAAAGTAATGCATTTGATAAATGACCCTGTAATGCAACTGTTAAAATTGTACAGAGTATTATTCCAATGGAGCCTTGTGGTGTGGGATACTGGATTCTTTCATCAGTTCAAGTTCCTCTTGCTTTAGTTTTTACTGCTTGGATTGTATTTAGAAAAGACCACCATCAAGACCAAAATCTTAAGCAAGAGGTAGGTAAAGCATCACACTCTGTAAACTACTTCTAGAATGTTGCTTAGAACCTCATTCAATCAAATGTAATGCAGGACCCATGCCTGTCCACTAATGGACCATCAAATAAGCTCATTTTTCCAATGATGGCACTGCTAGCAGGGATACTGGGTGGTGTCTTTGGAATTGGAGGTGGAATGCTGATAAGTCCACTTCTTCTACAAGTTGGAATAGCTCCTGAAGTAAGTTCCATTATTATTTTTACACTAATTTGCCCATATACATATTGTAAGTGCAATTAATAAAGCATTTATGCTAGTTGAGTAATTCAAAAGACAAAGAAAGATTCACTAATTAAGAATAAATTAAGAAATTTATCAAATAGTTACAATAAAATGATTGAATTATTTGGTATGTAAATACCATATACAATAACAACAGGCATTACTGGCTAATCCAATCAATCAACTCACTAATGATTATAGTGGCTGTGGCTCTCAAACTGGTGTTGACTAAGCAACCAAATTATTTGGTTGTTGTAGGTGACAGCAGCAACATGTTCTTTCATGGTTTTCTTTTCTTCTTCCATGTCAGCCTTGCAATATGTATTATTGGGCATGGAGCACATAGAGACTGCCCTCATTTTGGCGATAATATGTTTTGTTGCATCACTTCTTGGGTTATTAGTGGTGCAGAGAGCAATTCAAAGCTATGGAAGACCATCCTTAATAGTATTTTCTGTTAGCATAGTGATGACTTTGAGTATTGTTCTAATGACTAGCTTCGGAGCCATTGAAATTTGGAAAGACTACATATCAGGGAGATACATGGGCTTCAAACTACCATGTTGAATATCAATTTTGTTCAATCGGTAACTGATTGAATGCTATTGTTTCATCTCACTAGATTCTTCCATCATATAAGAGTATATTGTTATCAATCCCTAAAATTTTATATCTTTTGCATTTAACACAAACTCGTGATTAGGAAGCCAAGCATTTTTGGCTGTTGCTATATTCCGGAAAATCAAATAATAAAACTTGTAATGGCTGTTGACAAAAATTCTCATTTGAAGAAGGTTAAATTCCTAGAAATATTAACTTCAATCCCGATTTTAAACAATAAAAACTAATCATTTTTAAGTACTTAAAATTAGTCTTAAAAAATTAACAAAATTGTTAATTCTTTATCAAAATGACAGGAAATGTAACCTAACGTGTTAGTTCAATTGAAAGGGATTCGTATCGCTTTGGTTTGATTGAGTTTCGTGTCTAGAGAAAAAAAAACTAATGGAAAGAGTCTCATTTTTGTGCGTGACTGTTCCTATGAAGATTACTCTCACTCCCTGCAAAGAAAAAACAATGAGCAAATTGAAGAGGTTATGAATGAACCAGCATCCTAACCAAACTGTGAGAATTCAAATTGTGTTTTCGATACACTAAAGTTTTTGTGTCTAGCATTGCGGAAATGTAAAATACTCTTTCCAAGGCAAGGCTTCTACAGTTGATGGGATTTTTTTTCAATCACTTGATCCTTTACTTCTCTCAAGTCATAGATGACAGATGTACAAGCAAACGCAAAAGAAAAGAAAAACCCTGTAAAACAAACAATGAAATCTTTTCCATTTTTCTTTTTTGTCCAGAAAATATGGGATCCTACAAGTACAACTGGGGGCCGTAGTATACGGTGTAGAGAGGTTCAAAATGATATGGCTATTTTTTTACCCAAAAAAAGAGTTATTGAACATGTCCTGAACAACATAAATTATCCGTACACCCTTAAGCAGGTTCGAGACAATCATTTATATCAAATAAATAATCCGTCAACAAGAGACCTAATTACAGGTCAGATTTCGAGGTGTTTTACAAGAAAATTAGCCAAAATTTAGGCAAAGCATTTATCATTATTGAAATTTCCAACATAGCCAATCTGCCGCCGGCTTTCTTCTAGTTTCCTTTGTTATCCTTTTTGCTGCTCTCTTTTGTAAATGATGCTGAAAACGAAGCTTCACACAAAAAAAATGGAGAAAGAAAAGGACCAGGATTTTGTTAACATTATGGGCAGAGCTCTCTGAGGACGAATTCACCAAACGGTGAAGTTTAATTCGGAATCAACAAGCTGCTAAATAAATTAAATATTATCATGTCACATCTAAATGGTACAAATTATTGGGATGACCCTTCGGAGGCTTAAGGCAAAGCCTCTACAACCAATTTACACAAGCTCCATTCTCTAAAATTTTACACTGCTACAATTATGACGGCAGCATAAAGAATACATTTTCCCGTCGCTAAAGTGGAACAAATAAACAATTACTTTTGGTCATGGATGAAGCGTGTGGCCAGGTAAACATCTCTTTTAACCGTAGCTCAAACGGGAATCGAAGGACCGTGTGGATGTCTGAGTCTGACGCCGTGGAATCCCAATTTCACAGGCATTGACTCTGGCCGCAAAACGGAGAGAGCAAAGTGACTCGCTAGTTGAAGATTGATCAGGTGAAATGTTGACAAACATTAACGTTTTGGAGTCCCCGCCAAGACATGGCTGCCATTCATACGAAATAAAATATGTTAAGGAGCATTAGAAGAACAAGTCAGAGTCTATAAAGCCATAGAAGAACCCACAAAGTTGAGTAGAATACGGTCGGTATCCACATTCCCCATCGTTGGTTACGTTATAAAATGATTATTTTCGTCCTCGTGTTCTATGTAGTGGATAAAATGATTCCTAAAGTACAGGAGATGATACCCAAATTTGGCCCGGCTTAAACTTTCAACATAATTCACATATGCAGCATGTCTGGTACGAGAGTCAAATGGTTTACACCCTATGAAGTAAGAACTAAGACGTTAACCAACTCCGGTTATAGACATACATCCCTTGACTTATTTTGAACCTCTCCTTGAAAACTAACGCTGTGCCGAACACAATATTACAAAAGCTCTAGAAAAATTCAAGGAGCTATTTTCAATAAAAAAAAAGGGCTTTAAATAAGCCAATTTTAGAAGCTTCTCCCTTTTTCTTCTCCAACTCAAATCTCAAGACTTGAATACTATCCAAAAAATTCTAATTTAATAACTTTTAGTATTAAAAAATTATAAATGATCAGAAAACTTCAACTTAAATTTTAAAACTCTTACTTTTAAAATTAACTATAAAGTATTCAAAAAGTCAGGCCAAACCATGTCTAAGTCACTTTGAACAGATAAAACCGGTATAAAATCTAACTGCAGTTTTGATACTTGAAAATAAGCCGTGATCCTCCCCACAACGAAAAGATAATTTCATGTTTCCCTTCAATGCTACTCAACTGATAGAAAACAAATCCCTGGGAACAAGCATATTAACGCCACCAGATCAAGACATGCCCATCACAGTATTCAGTAATGTATAGTTCAACGTACCTGGAGAAGGTATGTTAGCTTTGAATTCCTAAAAGGAACATGCTCCTCTTTCTTTGCCAAAGCAAATATGACATCGCTCAAAGACGAGAGACTTTTGTTGATAGCCTGAGTTAGTTAAAATTACTACTTTATTAAAAAGTGAATAATTGACCAAGTGCCCAAGTTCATAACACTGTAAATCAAATAAATACCTGAGTTTCCTTTAACCGATCCCCAGTTGCCCCACTCCTAGACAGTCTTTCACTTCCAGCCAGATCAATCAGGTTTAAGACACCTTGCACTTGTTGTTCAGTGTTCTACAAAATAGAGAAAAGTGCATCAGGAAATATAATGTCAAGACGAAAGAACAGTAACAAGATATATGCCAATGTATTACCAAAGTATGTACCTCATTTATCCCACATATACGCAAAGTAAAGACAAAGTGGCTTCTTGATGACTGTTCATTCATTTGTGTCCTTCCCACTGACCTGAAAATAAAAATGGTGCCTCAATTTATTATTTTCTTTGTTTATTTATGAATTGATCCAGTTATAGGTTGATTGTAGACCAACAAGAGCATATTGTATATTATATATTAAAAGTTAAATTTTCTAACATAATCAATCAAGCACACTAAAATTTATTCCAAAGCAATCTTCAAAAATAAAATAAAATAAAATAAAATTCCAAAGCTATATCATAGACAGAAACTCGGCAATTTCAATAACTTATTAGTTGAAAAGAAATAATAACTCATCTAAAATTCATGTGGAAAAAAACATGCTTTCTTGCATATATTCACCCAAAAGTTCATTCACTGCATTAACTTCACAAAACAAAGAAAGAATTTGTAGGATTCAAATACCAAAGACCATACCTGCTCTGCGCAGCCTGTTGCAGGAGGGAGGAAATCTCATTCACACTACAAACGTCCACAATGGTGAGATCTGAAACATGTGTGTTTCCATTTGCATCATGTTTAATAGTGTACTGCTTTCCAGGAACACTATTTTCTGTTCGTGTTTGGTCAATCCCACTTGACCGGTTTGAAGATAACAAATCCCTGATGGTCTCATTATATATTTCCAGAATTGATGCCTAGAAATATTTAATGAAAATTTTCAGTTTCCATTTGTAGATATGACCACGTAAAACTTGAAAATTAGGATTAAGTATACGAACCTGCATTTTGTAATTCCAACCATGCTCTTTTAGGGACTGACTGGTCTGGAATATCTGTTCTAAAGAACGTGGTATCAATCCTTTCAGATCAGGGGCATCAGGCCTACCCATCATAGTATGGGTTTTGCCTGAACCTGTCTGCCCATATGCAAAGATGCACACCTGCCATAACAAACCATGGCGCCCAGTCAAGACGCAGTTAAGACCAAATCAACACAAAAAAATAAAAATAAAGAGAAAATATGAAAGAAAAGATAAGCCCGGGTATGTCATTTCTATAATAGTATAATCCATTCCACTTCTGTTCTGCATCTTAAGAATCAAAACTGAAAAACTACTTTTTGAGAAATAAAACCAACGGAGTTGTCTTCAGCCACAAAAACATTCAAGATATCAAACATGAGGAAACTCCCTACAATGAAAGGCTATATCAACAATTACACACTGCATACATTTAAATCAGAAATTTTGTAGCATTGTGAATGCAAGAATTGTCATGGTATTTGAAAAATGAAATTCAATGTCCCAAACAACGTTGGCATGTGTTGCCACCAAAAGCAGACAACTAGAAACATAATGAACTATAATGAGGCAAACTAGAAATTACCTTGTAGCCATCAAGAGCACTTTGTACCAGCTGTGATATCTCGATGAAAACATCCTGCTGAGAAGCGTCGTGATTAAACACCTTGTCAAATGTGAAATTGTACTTCTGCCCAGCTGACCATTAAAGGATGGGATTATGATACTCGACAAAGCATTTATACTATATGAAACTCATAAGATACAACAGCAGCAGACAAAGGGACAAAGAAGTTTATCTACATACCACTTTGTACCAATTCAATGCCCCGGCCAAGCGCTTCTGTTGATGTAGGGTAAGAAACAACCATATCGGCTCCTGTACCATCCTCTGGTAGGAGTGGTCGCACACGACAGAACACACGTATATTTCCTTTTAATTCCTAGAAACAAAAATTAATTGGATACGGTTGAACTATAATGCATTATATTATAGTGTAAGCAGAGATTTAGATTAACAAACAAAATAAAAATATGTAAAGCAAGCATTACCAGGATAGTGTTGTGGAGTTTTTTCCTTAGCTTCTCTCCTTCAACTACTTGAAATTCTTTATCTGCTAGTCGATCCTGTAGTTCGCGTATAATTATATTCTTCTCTTCAAACACTGTTCTTGTTTCTGAAACAGATAAATCAGCCATCTAACATAAAGAAGAAAAAAAGTTGTCAGCTAGTAGTCAGAAACATTAACAGTACAAGAGAAAAACACCAAATATCATGCTGTCATTTATTTCTATGAAAATTTTAGTTTGGTATGCAACTGCTCTTGCAAAAAAAAAAGCCAACTGCATTACCTTTAGTTTCTCCTTTTCAGCAAACAACTGCTGCTGCAGTATATATATTTGCTCCTTTTGAGATGAACAAGTCTCCTATAAAGAAAACCCACCATTACAGAAGTCCACTGAGCACAGAAATGCACAATTAATGAAGTGAAAGATAAAAATTACAGAAGGTGAAGACAAAAACCTCAAGAGCATTTGTTTTAATCATTATGGTATCCAATTGTGCACATGTTTTCCCTGTATATTCTTTGTACTTTGCTACTTCTCCGGTTAAAGCATTTACTTGCCCCAGTTGGCGATCACGATCATCTCTAATTTGTTTTAACTCTTCGCGAAGGCATTTGAGTTCATTTGCTAACATTTCTTTCTGCTTTATGGCCTCATCCTGTGAAACCTGAAAACAGGTAAAAATAGAGAGGGAACAACACATGACAATAAGGAGAGAGATTATAAAGATACTTACAATGACAACATAGAGTTAATGCAAATGATATTAATAAAAACAAAATACACTCCAAATCTGAATTATTCCCTCTTCACAACAGGGTTCAGTTACTTATGACATTTTAAGAATTAAGAATTAAGAATCATAAACATGTTAATTTCAAGTGCTTGCTTGACGAAGAATGTCAGCACATTGGCATCAACAAGACTGCAAGATAAGCTAGCAATTTGAAGCTATTCTAAAAATTTCAAAATGTTCACATGAATTTATTTTTATTTTAAATATCTTTTTCAAATCAGGAAAAATTCAAGAAACAAAACTTTCCATTGACAAATCATCATATAACACTTCGAAGCATGAAAAAAAAAATACTGAAACAACTTACTTTAAGAGATACTAACTGATCCTGCAATGCCTTATTGTGGCCTCTTACATTGCTAAGGCTCTCAACAATGGTTGCTTTCTCTGTTTCAAGTCTTTTATGTGCCTCATTAGCTGTTTCAAGATCTGACTGAAGACGACTATTGTACTGCTGCAGGCTCATATTATACTCTTGTGATCGCTTGTACAAGTCCTCATTTGAAATGGCCTGCAAAGATCAACAGTTTCAAAAGGAAAAAACAATGAGAGAATCGGCAGGAATCAAATAACAGTAAACATAAACGTCATAAAACATAGCGCAGAATGAACCCAAGAGGGCCATAGTTTTGTATAACTCAGTGGTAAACTTCAACATTTAACCAATAACTAACCAATACAGAATATAACATAGCATCACCTTATGCTCAGCAGCTGATTTCTCATCCTGGACTTTCTCAAGCTCAGCTGATTTCTCATCTCGAATTTTCTCAGCTGCACTTCTGGCTTCCTTTTCTTTACCGTAAGACTTAATTGCTTCCTAGTTGTCAACCCACAAAAAATGAGACCATCACGTAGTAGAGAACATTGGTTGAGATAGTCAATCACAAAGCTAGCAGGAAACTTACCAGTTTATCCGATTCTTCCTTGACAATTCTCTCTTGTAAAGAAGAAATTGTCTTCCTCAAATCAGATATAGTCTCGTCCAACCCCTCAATCTTATTTTTCATCTCAGTCTCTGACAAAACAGAAATATATGATGATTTAATAATTGTTCTTTTGCCATGATTTTTTTGAACTGAGAACCAAAGACAATAACCACAATGTGGACTTAGAGACAACAGCATCGAGCAAGATAATTTAAAATAAAAATTATTGGCTCTTTTAAATAATTTTTTTTCTACAAAGCTCTTAACAGAAATATATAAATAAATGTCAACAAGCTTTCTACAATACTAAACTATTTCACCTGAAGTCCTAACTATTAGCGACACAGCAACAACGATGCATAAATCATAAGAGCCTAATCACAATACCTTATCCTCACAAAAACAAATAAAGGCTTCCACAGTAATCAAGCAAGCAAGCTTTCTAAAGACAATTTTAAGATATTTTCAATATCATATCCAATCAACTTATTGTAAAAAATCACCAAAAAGCAAAAACATACATACCAGTATCCCTGCACTTCTTCTCAGCAGACTCTAGCTCAGACTGAAGCTTTTCCTTTTCTTGGACATAACCTTCTTCAACTTTCTTAAACCACCTAACACAAAGCTTAAGGCGCTTAATAAGATCCCCCATCTGTTCCATTTTTTTCTGAAAAACAAAACAAAAGTAGTGAAAAATGAAAACAACGAAACACCCACATAACATTTCCAAAAGAAATGTCATTAATTAAATTGATTAATAATTACGAAACCTTATTATCATAGGGATTCCCCTTTTTCATCTTCTCATTCAGCAATGCCTCCACTTCCTCCTTTGTGAATTCAACTGTGCTACATTCGGGACCCTCGGCGTCACTCGGCGCACTACTATGTATCCTATTGTTTACCGAAGAAAACGGCGTTCTGGCTCTCCCAGCACCTCCTTGTCGATCCATCTTTTCAGCTCCAACCCTTCGACGCTTGTCCAAAGAAACTTCTTCGGCACTCGCCTTTTTCTGAAATCAAAATCGAACTCATTCAGCGTGTAATAAACGATTTTTGGATCCAAATATAAGTAAGAACTCTGATGAGAAAATTAAAAGTATCAAGAAGCTCAAATTCGAAAGGACAGAGAAATGCTTACGTTGGATGGACTGCGAGGAGGTCTGTTCTGGTTCCGGGAAGCCATGTGTGGCTTCGAAATTGGGGTTTTTGTACAGTGAATTGGGTCTGATTTGGGAAGTTAGGACTTACAGAGAAGAGAGTGAGGTGAGTAGAGCGTGAAATTTGAATTTGGATCTGGCGGCTCAGGAACTCCGTCTTCTGGTTCTGGAAGTAGTGCCTTGTTTTTCAAATTAAAAAATTTTGAAACTAACGGTCATCTCCATTTGTACGTGAAAATAAAAGGAAATTAAAATATCACCCCACTAATACGTAATCTATTCAAATAATTTTATAATTTATAGTTAAATATTTTTACGTCACGAAAACATAATCTTTCTCGGTGTTTAGTGTGATTAGGTGCTCCCTCGTCGTACGGATACATGATACTATATATGATGGTTTAATTAATTTATAATTTAGTTTTATGATAATTTATTTTTAGTAAATTTCATGGTAGTTATAATAGAGTATTTTATATTTTTTACAATGAAATAATTATAACTATTAATTTTATATTAATAAATAATAAAATTAGTAGTTTATTTTAAAAAATATAAACACTTTTTCATTTATAAGATATTAAAAGAATATCAACTTTTAGTATACAGAAAATATTCAATACTTCTTCAAGTTTACGAATATTATAATGAATACTTTTATTTTTTATTAAAGAAAAAAATTTTGTTACAATTTAAAAAGAATATTGTATGTCTCCTCAAAAAATTAGTGTATAGTAAATTTTACTATCTTATTCATACAAATAAAATTAATCGTATTTAAATTTAATATTAATCATTCATAGAAAAAATAATTTTTTTATTATTCAAATAAGTTATATTGCAAATTAAGTGTAAAAGTATTCAAATTTTTTATATAAAATCATTAAATATATAAATTAATTAGTTAAAAATTATTTTAAGTTAATTGTTAGTTTTAAATATATAATTGTGTTAAATATTTAAATAAAGTATAAATATTTTATATTATGTGAATCAAATAAATAACAAGATTTTTTATATTTTTAAAAATGGTAAAAATTGAGTTATGTGACTTTATAACGCAATGGAATAGATATATCATTCATGTGTATGAACATTGGATAAAAACAAAATAAGATAAAAGAATAATAAATTCTTAGTAGATTTTATGTTTATTGTACGTTAGCACAGTACAACTAATAACACTGTCATTTCATTTAGTATTTGATATAAATAAAAAAATAATATATCATTATATCTAAATGATTAAATTAGTCTTTATCAACTAGCATAATTTTAAAAAAATATATTTTTCGTTTAATTTAAAAAATTTATATATATATATATATTAAAATTTTTATATTAAATTATAATAATTTCTTCAATATTTTACAATTAAAATTTATTTTTGGTAGAAAAATAATTAAAACATAAATAATTATAAATTTTTTAAAATATATTATATTAAAAATGTTTATATAATATTTTTATAAAAATATTAAAATTATATATATAATTATTTTTTATAAAATATTGAAAAGGACATAAAGTATGAGTAAAAAGGTAATTAAAAACGAACTATCTTATCTTAATGTATTCTAACTTATTATCTTATTTAGGATAAGAATTTAAACTATAAAAATATAATGGAATAACTTAACAAAGTAAACTATTATATCTTATTATTCCACAAATATAAAACATAAACTCTGAGAAGATAAATTATTATATTCTATCTTCGTATCTTTACCATTAAACATACCTTTAAATGAGATAATATACTGAGTTATATACCTTGAATATTCATGTGCAAGAATTTGTTTTTCTAAAAGAAATGTTGCATACAAAAAAATATACGTCAAATAATTATTTTATTACTAATACAAGGAATTATATACGGTAATCTATTTATAATTGAATTTTTAATGTTTCGCTCACTTATAACTACTAGATATATTGCATTTTTAATTAATGATTGAGGTGCTATACTTGGTATTTAAAATAGTGGATTGCTATTAAGTGTATGTTTAGTTTTATATTTTTTTATTGTAGATTCATATTTACTTCAATGCTAGTAGTTATAGATTATGTGTTCAATTTACATTCAATACATATTAAGTTTATTTTGTATATTTTTTTGTCACTTTTAGGTATAATTCTAATTTTTTCTGCATTGTCTTAAACTCTAATCAATAGTGAAAGAATGATAGCAACACTTTTTCTAGCATACTTTTTATTATTGGTTAAAATTTATTGACAACTAAAAAAATTATATGGGTCTTATTCTTTTGTAATTTTTAATAAATTTTAGCTAATAGTAGAAAGTGTGTGATGAAAAATGTCTTAGAGTGGTGGTTGTCCTCAAGTGAGTGTATAGTATTTTGATGAACACTAATATACATATCATGAGTTATTGCGGTTATTATCTACACAAAGTAATTAAATGTGCATTATTGCGAAAATCAAATAGTATGGTCCTGGAAAGCATTTGCTATCATATTCTTACAAAGTTGTCATTATAATGAAGTTGTCACTTAAAACTCTATTTTTCTCTCCACATATATGTAGAATTAGAAAAATAAGTATACTTAATGGATATTCTAAAAATATGAGAATCATAAGAAGAATCTGGTCATTAGAACTAAAGATTTAAAATAAATTCGAATATTTTCAATCTATCCTTATTAGATCTAAACCTAAATGGGATTGAGATGAGTTAGTTCATGGGTCACCTCTAGCCTATAATTTTTACTCTTTTTTTTTTTTATAAGTGAATATATATTTTCTTTAGGTAATATTTATTTTAAATTAAAATTTTTATTTATAAAATTGTTAATTTATTTGATATTATAACTTTTTAATAAATCCATGTTTGATTTTAGGTTTTAGTAACGAGGATGATGATAATGAGAGTGACTATTACAATTGAGGATACAAAGCTTTCTAAAAAAAGTTAAATAATTGAGAGACTAATTAGAATATTTTTTGAAATATTTGAAGTGTTTATTTTAATTTGCTGAATGAAGTGATTTGATGATATTTTTTTATTCTAAATTTGTTGATATTTTAAATTTTAATGTGATTTTAAAAAAAAAAATAGTGTTAATGTAATAATTTATCTTTAACATATATTAAAATAATTTTTTAAAAAAAGTTATAAATTATTCTTATTTGAGAGTTTTTAGATAAGAATAGAAGAGTTTATAAACCTTTTAAAATCTTCTAATTTTATTTTTTTTAAGTTTCTCTCAGTTTGAAAGATTTTATATTAATCTTTCTTTATCCTCCATTTTTCTTTAAATATTATTTTTCTCTCCATCCAAACTTTCAAATAAAAACTTAAGAATTTAATAAGTAAAATATTTAATTTTTAAAAAATTAATAATTAAAAAAAGAGAAAAATATAAACTTGATACAAACTTAATTTATAATTGGCTTAAATTAATATATTTTCTATTCATATATTTTTGTGAGATTTTTATTTTAATCTCATAATTTTTTTTTGTCTCTAATCTTTTTTAATTTAATATTTTTATCATTAATAATGAGATGATTAATTAAGAAATTGTCACATGCTAATTATTTGTTAACTACAATAATGAGAGAAGAGATTTTTTTTTTGTTGTAGACAAAAGGGGTTTTATGCCTAAAAAAAAATAAAATTACATATTAAACATGGGCTAAAGTTATAAATACAACAATATTTTTATTTTTTATTTAAAAAATCTTCCTATAAAAAAGTAAAAGCAAAAATTTTCATCAGATATAATACAATTTCAAAAGTTTATAGAGTTTTTCAACTATAGTATGATAAGGTTCTAACAAACAGATATGTTAATTTTACTAAAGATAAACACTGGAGCTGAGAGAAAGATGAATGTAAGTATATTTCTATTTTTTTTTTTAAAGATGAAAAAAATATGTTGAATATCCACATGTTAAAAGAACCATATTACTTTATGATATTTTATAAAATATGTAACATTATTGTGTTAGAACTTGCATATTTTTTCAAAGCATAAGATGATCTAAAGTAGATTGTTGCAATGCAAGAGAAATTTAACATGATTGAGAAATATCAAATTAGACTTAACTTAGTAAGTCAACCTGCCTAGTCTTTTAAAAATGGCAGATTGGACTAAATATTTTAGACCTATAGTCTTGTTCAATTGGCCTTATTTTAGTTCACTAAAATGCAAATCAATGGTCAATTAAAGCAAACTGACTCATTGAGCCTATTTTTTATTTTAAAAATTTTAAAAAATATTTATTAATATAATTTTTTTGTTGTTAATTTTGGATAGACTAACTCATTTATCCATTTGCCCATTAACCCTTTTTTTCTTTCTTTTTTTCATTTTTGGGTCTTTGGTGGGCTGGCTTGATGGCCTATCCTTAAACAAGTCAAACTAAAAAATTTAGCTTATTTTTTTAAAAAGGATGAGCACAGACTAGCTTATTTTTGGCAGTACAAGTGAGCCCATTTTGACACTCCTACACCCAAATTTTTAAAAATGATAAATTAAGCGTGTGAGAAGTAATCTGATAAGACAAGAATAAGAGTATGTTTCTTGAGATGTTGATGTGAGTGATATAGAAATAAAGAAGGTTGATAGGTTTGGCCATAGCCAAAGAGATAAGTCTCATCATGAGGTTGGAGATGCAGAAGATGAAGAGGAAGTTGAGACAAGGGATGTTATCAATAGAAAGGAGAATGATGTATGGTTTGGAGAGATTAAGGGGTGACACAAGAATCAATACGATGACTTAAGAAAGAAAGGTAAATGAAACTAAGGATTGAGAGAATTGAGAAGGAATACCTATCTTGTGGGTTGCAATGATTGTTTTGATGTGTTCCAAGTAATGATTTTGACTTAAGCTTTGATGAGGTAGTTGAAGGTAACAAAGAGGGAGTGTCTCACCACATAGAATACAGTAGTCATCAAAGGAAGAACCATGAACAATGAAGAAGAAAGTTGGAACAATGAAGAAGAAAGTTGGAAGGAGATAAAATGACATCAACCAAATTAATAAAAAATTTTAAATTTAGTATTTCAAGTACTAATTTAATAATTTTAAAAATGTAATTTTTTATGCCATTCAACATTAAACTCATATGTATAAGTCCACTTGACACTAATATATCATATTAACATTTTTGTTTAGGAGTATTTACGATTTGATTCAGTTTTTATTCATAACACCAAAAGTCATTTGAACTACATAAAAAATAATATACAATTTGATTCAATTCAGTTTGAATATAATTTGAAAACCAAATCAAACTGAAAAATATAAAATATCAATTTTTTTTTGGATAACTATTTTTAAAATTTATTTATTATAAAATTATTTTTTTAATTTTATTTATTATTATATGACTTTTAATTTATTTTTAAATGTAAACTAAATAGTAACTCAAAAAAATGAAATGAAACTGTTATAAAAAAGATAGTATCATTTTTAAATTTTTTTTGTAATATAAAAAATAATAAAGTTTTATATTAATTAAATGATATAATAAAAAATTTATATTTTAATTTAAATTTAAATTTTTAATTAATATAAAATTATATCATCTATTTTTTCCAGTCAAAATAAATAAAGAATTTTTGCTTTTTATATTTTAATTTCTCTAAATAATACTTTATTTCTATTTTATCTTCTTTTATTTACCTTTTTCTGTTTCTTTTCTTTTTAATTATATTTTTTTGTCCCTACTTGTGTTCCCATTGAAGTTCAAAACAAAGCATGATACCTTGTTTGAAACTGCGTCCTACGTTCCCACTGATGCTGCCATCAGTAATTGTCTCTTGGAGTTTAGACCCAACGTGTTACATGCATTAATTAGTTCACCATTGGCGTTTTATTAAAGCTCATGATGGTGAGCACTCAGCCGCAAACAAAAAATTTCATTATTCTAGTATTCACATGTAATCATGTTTTCCTTCACTATCAAATCACGAGTGTTCATTATTTTCCTTTGTGTACTGATGCTCAAGTTAAGCATGGGCCATGGGAACATGAATGTTCGTTGCAATGCAAACGATCAAAACGTACTTTCAATCCTTAAGCACAGCATTAAGGATCCCTTAAATCGGCTCTCTTCTTGGTCCATTGAAGAAGTTGCTGCAATTGGGATGGTGTTGTTTGTAACAACATCACGGGAAGTGTCATAGAGCTCAACCTCTCTTCTCCATTTCTTGGTGAGTCTTATTTCACTGATGACACTATAATCTAAGGGATGAAATCAACTTTTTAAATTTAATGGAACTTGAGTTCCTCAGCTTATTGGACTTGAGTGGAAATGGCTTTGAGGCCATTCATTTTGAATCAACTCACAATGCAACAAATTTTTCCAATCTTCTTTACCTGGATTTATAGGGCAATACTAAGCTCCACGTGGATTATCTTAGAGGGATCCCACGTTCTTCTTCTCTGAAATATCTGAACTTGAGCGGAATAGATCTCAACAATATTGAATCTCTTTGGTTTCATATGCTCCCTTCACTACCGAGTTAAGGTTGAGACGATGTCAACTAAGTGGTGTCAATCCATCCTTTGGGTATGTCAATTTGACTTCACTTTCAGTGCTTGATTTTTCTGAGAACCATTTTATAGAGATACAAAAATGGTTGTTTAACTGTAGCAGTAGGATTTGTTATTTGGACTTTGGTTTCAACAATCTAAGAGGCCAAATACCTGAAACAATGATGAATTTTCAGCATTTGAAATCCTTAATTTTGAGGCAATGTAATCTAAATGGATCGATTCCTGAATGGCTGGGACAATTCAAACATTTGGAGAAGCTTGATCTCTCTCACAACTTATTATCTGGTCCCATTCCAGCAACCGTTGGAAATCTATCATCGTTGATACATTTAATAGTAAGCTACAATCATTTCATCAACGATAGTCTTCCAAGAACTATTGGGCAACTATCCAAATTGGAGACTTTAAGCATTGACCATAGTTCCTTGTTAGGACCAGAGTATCAGTATAATAACACACAACTAAAATAAGAGATGAAAAATAAGTGCCAATAAATACAATATAAAATTATCACAGAAGAAAAATTACACTACTTCTCACTCTAAAATTTACTCTTCAAAATAGGAGACTATTACTACCAAGTACAAGCTCGGTGTAATACAAAATGAGAGGGAAAGAGAGGATTTTAGGATGGAATGATTAGTAAGACCCCTTGCCCTTTTATAAGCAAAGGAGGGGTCCTATCCCCTTTACTCCCACCGATGTGGGACTTACAATTCTCCCACTTGAAGATTATGATTAAGTTAATTATATCTTCACACATTCCTAATATATTACAATTATATGTTGCTTATATTCCTAATAGGCCATACAAGGATCGACACCATGTAAACTTGTCATTGTTCATTGGCTTTGTCATTATGTCTGCTATGTTGTCTTTGGTGTGAATCTTTTGCATATCCACTCTACCTTCCTCTACTACTTCAATCATAATCTTCAAGTGAGAGAATTGTAAGTCCCACATTGGTGGGAGTAAAGGGGATAGGACCCCTCCTTTGCTTATAAAAGGGCAAGGGGTCTTACTAATCATTCCATCCCAAAATCCTCTCTTTCTCTCTCATTTTGTATTACACCGAGCTTGTACTTGGTAGTAATGGTTTCCTATTTTGAGGAGTAAATTTTAGAGTGAGGAGTAGTGTAATTTTTCAGGTCTGCCTTCAATTGCATCAAGACAATTGTCTTTCCTCAAAATTGCTCTTATCTTCAAATTTCCACAAGGAGAAATTACTCCCCTGAAATTTCTCTATCTCATATTTTGCTGCCATAATTTCTCTCTTAATTATACTGACTTATGTAATTTTCTACCTACTGGAACAATAATAATGGTAGACTGTGAGTACACACTATATTTGCACTTTTACACTACCAAAATTGTATATCCAGTAACAAGAATAATTCTTTTCTGATGTGGCAGATCAGATAATACTGCAACCACAGAGCATACTAAGAATTTTCTCTAGCACTATACCAATGTACACTACAGCGGAATAATATAAATAACCTAATGGTTCTGATACCACTGTTAGGACCAGAGTATGAGTATAATAACACACAACTAAAATAAGAGATAAAAAATAATAGCCAATAAAGACAATATAAAATTATCACAGAAGAAAAATTACACTACTCCTCACTCTAAAATTTACTCCTCAAAATAGAAGACTATTACTACCAAGTACAAGCTCGGTGTAATACAAAATGAGAGGGAAAAAGAGGATTTTGGGATGGAATGATTTGTAAGACCCCTTGCCCTTTTATAAGCAAAGGAGGGGTCCTATCCCCTTTACTCCCACCGATCTGGGACTTACACCTTCATGGCTGTACACACAAAGGTCCCTATCTTTTCTAGATGTTTCAAGTTCAGGACTTTCATTCAATGTCCATGACAAGTTTTGGAGCTTTGCAACGCAAATTTATGGTCTCTCTTTAGCCAACAATTCAATCACTGGGGATATATCTACCACAATTATTACTAATGCAGCAATTGATTTACACTCTAATAACTTCACAGGCCTGTTGCCACGTTTGTCTTCTGAAGTGACATTCTTCCACATAGCTAACAACAAGTTCTCAGGACCTATTTATCCTCTCTTGTGCCAAAACGAGGCAAGGATGCAACAGTTAAGACTTTTGGATATGTCACATGATCTTTTATCAGGAGAACTTCCTGATTGTTGGATGCATTGGCAATCTTTGCTGGCTCTGAACTTGGAGAGCAACAAACTAAGTGGTAAAATTTATGATTCTCTTGGTAAGTTGACCAATCCTTTGGGCCTAAGACTTGGTCAGTCTGGTGATGTACCTTCACTCAAAAGCTGCAAGCAATTGTTTCTCCTTGATTTGGCATTCAATGAGTTTACAGGAAATGTACCTAGTTGGACTGGGTCATTGCCGGGGACGACCCTTCTACTGCGATCAGATAAATTCAATGGCACCATTCCATCTCAGATATGTCAACTTTCCTATATTCTAATGCTGTACCTTGCAGATAATAGACTTTCTGGACCAATACCAAAGTGTTTCAATAACTTCACAACAATGGTTACTTATGATACTCAAAATGAGTTTTATTATGATTATGATGTAGGGTATTTGGTACAAGTTTTTTGTGAATCCTACTTGGAGGATCTATTGTTATATGTTAAGGGTCAATACTTCGAATATGATAGGACTTTTTGGGATGTTCGCTTTGTTAACCTCTCGAGTAATGAACTTTCAGGATCAATCCCACTAGAACTGCTTAGTCTCATTGCGGTTTAGTCTTTGAACTTGTCCCATAATCATTTAAAAGGAAAGATACCAAGTGTCATTGGACACATGAGGTTTCTAGAATCTCTAGACCTTTCAGGTAACAATCTCTCAGGTGAGATCCCTCAAAGCATGTCAAATTTATCTTTCTTGAATCGCTTGAATGTGTCAAACAATAATTTCCATGGAAGAATCCCACTTGGGACACAGCTACAAAGTTTTGAAGCATCAAGTTATGCTGGCAATTCTGGACTTTGTGGACCTCCTCTTCCAAAGAACTGTTCACAAGATGAAAAGAAACCTAATGACATGAAGAAACCAAAGGAAGGGAAAGACAATTATTTTTCAACCAGTTTCGAAACCGGCTTGGGAGTTGGATTTGCTTCTGCATTTTGGGGTGTTTTTGGTACTCTTCTCTTCTTCAGGAAATGGAGGCATGCTTACTTTCGGATTCTGGATAAACTTTATGTTCTTATTATCGTAAAGATGAATCGTTTTCGTTGAAGGTCAATTATGTTATTAGCATCGTAAAGATATGCATGAATCGTTTGCTTAATTTGAAGGTCAATAAGATGCATCATTATTAAGACATTTTGTGTATGGCATTAATTTTAAACAGCATATTGCCTCTTTATTCACCTATGAAATAGTGTGAACTTGTAGAAAGTTAAAAAAAATCAGTGGTACATATATAAAACTTAACTAAAATATACTAACAATGTAAATAATTGTTAATGCTACCATTCAATTATTCATTAAGAATTATCAACTTATATAACAGTTCTTTATAAGGTTATTTTGCAATAATTTTTAATTGATCGATAATTATAAAAAAGTGTATTAACAATAAATTAAATTTAAATTTATATAAATATAAGTATTTGTTAGTCAAAATTGGATGGTGTTAATCAAAATTTGTAGGCATCATTTTTTTGTGTCTCAGTTTTCAAATTCAGTTGGCACTGTCCTCTAGATTTGTCAAAATACTATAGTAAGTTACTGTAACAACATTAAAAAATTAACAAATCACTGTAGCAGTTTTTTGTCTATAAAAAGCAACGAATTAACGAAGGAAGTGAGGCATATTATTCACGGATCAATGAGAAAAAAATTACTGAGAGAAAATTGTGAGTGTTATTTTGTAACTCTTATTTCATTTTGAGAGAGTATTTATTAAGAGAAAAAAAAATAGAGAGATTTATTTCTTGTACTCTCCCTTTTATATAGTAAAATTATTTTGCTCGTAGTTGTCCTTGAGTTTTTCTCTGATATGGAGTTTTTTCCACGTTAAAATCCTGTCTCCATTATTCTCTTTCTTCTCTTTATTTCCAACTAAATTCGATCCAGTATTCCGCATTGCATTGATACCTCAACAGTATCGGTTTGCTTGCAAAAGAGGAAAATGTTTTAAGGGAGCTTAATTCGTAATTGACCAAAGAGAGTTTATAATTGATTTTGTAAGTTAGGTTCTTGCTCTACTACTTTAGCTGAATTATGAAATCTTGTATTCGATTAGGAAACTTCATTTTGAGAATGTTTATGTGAAAACAAATTCAAAATTAGCTATTCATTTAGTTAATACGTACTTAACTGTAAGAGGTGTTATAAATTAAAATCTATGATTCGGGTCACAAGGAGTCTTCTCCAATTTTACAGAATTATTAGTCTTCGTCTAGTGTACAGAGAAGGCAATAGGTGTGTTGATATACTATCTAACTTGACTCAGTCTAAGAGATGTAAAATACCTGTGAATTTTTCTCCTGATGTTATTCCTATTTTAGGAGAGTACTTATGAAATTGATTTCTCTAAGATGATTTTGTAGTCTTTTTTACTGTTAAGCTCCGTTTGAGTATAAAAAGTATCTTAAGATATAGTAAAATATATAAAAGCTGAAGATTCTATAATTTGTGTACATAATCTCAAAAATCAAAGTAATAAAATGAAGGGAGCAGTACATTTCTTATCTAATTAATTGAAATGGTGGTTGAAATCCTTCGCCTTGAAATTGAAAGTTCTATTTTGGCCTATAATGGGTTTCCTTGGCTTTTTTCTTCCCTTGCTGTTGCCGTTACAGAAACATAATAGGCAACGGTGAACAACCCGTGAATGAAACATAAAATGCCTCCAATGGATAGAATCCTATTGTTTGATATCCCACACGATTCTCTTGATTTTGAATTGGCTAATGTGCCTATGATTAGCATTGAGAATGAAACTGCTAATGCTATCCTGCAACCAACACAAATTCCGCAACACGCCATCAAAATTCAATCTATTTGTTCATGCTTTGCTAAAGAATAATCCTGATAAATTTCTTTAAAGTTCACCAGACTGTACCTAAGTTCAACTTAATCCAAATAATTAGGTTTGTATTTGAAAATATATTGAAAAGTCTATTCATGTAAAATTAACACAAAGCTGTATTAAAACATAGGTAGATACATTTATTGGATAAATGTAATGTTATAAGTACTGTGAGTATATTTGAAAAGGAAAATTCAAAGTTGTACATAAGGAAAGTAGATTACAACTATACTCACAAACTTGGTTTATTTTCCGTCAATTTCCTACTCTGTTCATAATGATTAATTATAAAAACATGTTTACGATATATTTTAATTAATTAACAATATAAAATTACACTATCATTGCATCGAAATTAATCTATTTTAATTATGTTATTTAACCAATTAGGCGAAAGTAAATGGCAACAGGTACCCAACCAAAATCATGACACACTTAGCATTCCTCTAATGAGAAAGCAGCTAGTAAATTGTAATATATTGATGACGTGCGAATTTGAAGCAACAATGAACACAAACACATATCAAGAAGACAATATAGGAATCATTCGTGAGTTTATTTTCTTATGTTTGGGTGCAAGCTACGGATGGAATTGAACATTTCCGTACATGCAGATGTAAGAGCAAAGTCAAAAACTTACCATGAGAAAATTAGAAAAGTCACTGCTAATTTCCTATTGGCCGTGGCTCTTTGGCATTCTTCTTTGGATAGCATACAAATGCATCCACCAAGCATGTGAGCAATTGCATGAGCTAAGGCCAAGAGAATGGAAGCAGCCAATCCTAGCTTGAAAGCTTCATAGCTTGGGTCCTTACACTCCAATACCCACATCTTCAAATCCTTCACCTGTTTTCATACCAAAACATTAACCCAAAAAAAAAAAAAAAAACTCATTAATCAATGTTCTCAACAATAATGAATCCTTCATTGAGATATGTTTGGTCTTAATTAGAGTACCTTGTTTTGAGCTATTTCTGCTTGAATTCCAAGTATGCCAGCAACAATATCGAACAACATGACCAAAATGCATACGAGGAAGCCATAGTTTTTGGCCATTTTCACCAAACTCAGAGGCAATAGAGTAAAGCTAGCATGTTAGCTAACTTGTTCATAACTCATAACTTTAATAGTGAGGCATTGTCATCTCTAATGAAGGAATAAGAATAAAGCTTGGGACAGGTTTGATAGGTGTTATCATATATGAGAGAACTTAGCTGTGATTTTTGGCTAAAAGCTGCTTTCGTCTTCATAGTTAACTTTATTCTCCCTTTGTCTTTCCCTTTCTAATATTCCTTCCATGAGGGACACGGAAAGCTCAAATCCGTTGGTTTGGAATTATAGGGAGCAGATGTGAGTGAAATGGAACCAACACATTGCTTAAGTGCCTTCTTTTAATTTCATAATTTTTAATGCATTCTTTTGGTTGTAGCCAAAAGTTGATGAATGCAAGTCATGCAACTGAACATGTTCCTAAATATTGCTTCATAACAATGAATTGATACAAATCATTCTTCACCTCATATCTCTACTAAACCATAGATCAAGAAAGCATACTCTGCCATCTTCACCTAGTATTGCCCAGAATATCATATTGTGGTCTACTATTATAATTGTGGCTCTTTCAACCGTATTTATTTCATAATTACAGTTGCACTGGTAGCATTTACCCATAATTTCGGCTGTTACAGTATAAACACAACCATAATTACAATTAAACTAATAAGATTGCACAAAGGCCCTAAACTGTTACTGACCCTACTTCATTGAGTTATTTCTAGATCTAACATCGTCTAATTATTCTCGCTTTGGAAAATATGCAAACAGTATCTTAGCTTTCTACATGGATCAAAGGGGATCTCAACCTATCAAAATATTTTTTCATGTTAAAATCTTGTATGAAGAATAATTTAAAGATTACATATGACTAGATTTGAAATTACACACTCGTAGTTAAAAATTGAATTGCAGGGGATCTGATTCCCCCCATCAAATTGCTTTTACCATTCTACACTAAATAATAATGTACAAATGTCTAATGAATGACATGGTGAGTTTAAATGAAATAATAATCTGTGTTCATCATTAATCGGTCATTATTCTGTTTAGACAATGTGCTTTCCCAATAAAAAAAAACTAAGTCCATATATAATATTATTAAGATGAAAAATTGACTAAAGCTATTACATATGCCGCGAAAAGAGAGATAATAGAAAAAAGAATATTATCAATTCAATTAAAAGCATGAAATATACAAAAATTGCTAAATAATCAATATTTAAAATTGTATTTCTCCTAACATGCACCATAAAGTAATTAAGAAATTTATCTGTATATACTTTCCAATCTTTATAATACTATCAAAGTAAGTAATACTATTACTTAAGTAATATCTTTAACAAAAACTTTTGAAAAAGTGAAGAACTTAACAAAAACACAGATTGAAAGGTGAAGTTTTTTATAACGTGAAAAAGTTGGTCAACCATAAATAAATACTTTGTAAATGTTATGTTATAATGACATTTATGACATAATAAAACTAATATATTTTAAATTTGATCATTCATATTAAATTTATAGATTAATATTTATTGTTTTTATTCTTTCATTTCATACATCTCTTATGAATAGATAAAGAAAAATACTATTCCGTACATGCTAATATAGCTAATATAACTTTAATTTCAATATTCCTTCAACGTATTTAAATATTATATTATTATTTAATAATATATTGTCACATTCTTTAATTATTTAACATCTTATATAATAATTAACAGAGTCAAAAATTTATTAAATTTGGCATAGGATGTCCCCGAAGGGACTCATTAACTAAGGTATGAAAACAATAATAATATATGATATATCAAATTTAGACTATTAATGAATTAAAATAAAATATGATATATAATTATCTATTTTTGCATTATAAATATGCTTTTTCACTCTTAGTTTTAAAAGAATTAAAAATCAATTTATTCTTAATTATATTATGTGTTTTTTTTTGTGTTAATAACTTATTTTTTATTTATAAATTTATACCTTTCAAATATTATTATTAAAATTATTTTTAGTCTTAATTTAAGATAAATTTTAGTACATTATGTACAATTAAAGACATATTCTTCTTTAATAAATTACATTTAAAGATTATTTTAGCTTTAATTAATTATAATTTAGATTCTAAATTTCATTATATTATATCAACCAAGATGATATATCTTAGTTTAAATATTTTATCTGTATAAATTTTTAATATTAAAAATTCCATTTTTTTAACTTATTTGTATTTAATACTATAAAATAAATCGTTATGATAATATATCTATTTTTTAATTTTTTATTTATAAATTTTATTTAAAATTGAAAACTCTTATACAATATATGCGAAACTTACTGATGGATATTTTAATTCATAACCATATTAAATAAAAATTGCTCTAATGACTTAATTTAGATAAATTTTTAGAGATGTTATTGTAGGAAAAAATTAGTATAAAAAATAAATAAATTTTTATAAGTTAAAAATAATTTATTTTTTAAATTTTAGAAAAATTAAATAAAAAATTCAAAAAATTAAGAAAGATAAATTATTTTAAAAAATTATTTACTTTTTATATTAATTTTTTCTACAAATTACTCAAAGTGGCCCAATATATCATTACATCAAGTGTTAGACACATTAAAAGACAGAATACTTTTTACCCCCGTTATTTTCTTAAAAATATATTTTAAACAGTTCTTTAAATTTTAAGTAAATAAATTTTTAATTTAAATTTCTAAATATAACTCAAACACATCAACAAAACTCAAATTTAATTTGATCATAAGTGCGCCTAATATTTAATAAACGACACGTGTTGCAATGACGCTATCCGCTAGAGTGCAAACAGCGGCATCACACTTGGATGAACAATGGAATAGCCACCGCCACCAGTGTGTTCTAGAAAGACCTTCATTCTTCTCTTCTTAGCTATGTAAGACAACTAATAGATCATGCAGAAAAGGCCGCGTTTGGAAGAAAGGATTAGGAAGGGAAAATCAAAACGTATTAAAGAAAACGGAGTTGGATTCCTTCTCAATTCTCCTCCGAAAACAAAATAATGTCAGCATACCGATGGAAAAGCTTCGAGGAGAACGAGGATCGGCCCTCGAAGCCTCGCCGTTTTGGCGTCACCGAGATGCGAAGCCCCCACTACAGTCTCTTCTCTCACAACGTTCTTCAGGTTAACTCATTTTCCTCTCTGCTTTCAATTGAGCTTTGAGCTTTTTTGACTAGTGGTTATTCTTGTTATGGAGCGGTGTCGTTTAATGAAAAAGTGTTTTGTGCAGGATATATTTGAATCTATGGGAGAATTTGTTGATGGGTTGAAGTTTTCTGGAGGGTCTCACAGCTTGATGCCGAAGGCTTCTATGAAACAAGTGATTGACATGGCCCATCAGCATGATGTTTATGTTAGCACCGGTGATTGGGCCGAGCATATGATTCGCAAAGGCCCATCTGGTTTCAAAGAATATGTGCAGGTCTCTGAGCATTTGATGAAATTTTGTTTTTTATTTCTGGAGCAATGGTTTGGTTGGTTACATTATTTGTTTTAATCTTAATACAGGAATGTAAGGATTTGGGGTTTGACACAATTGAGCTGAATGTGGGATCGCTTGGAATTCCTGAAGAAACCCTTTTGAGATTTGTTCGGTTGGTCAAAAGTGGTGGTCTGAAAGCTAAGCCTCATTTTGAAGTGAAGATTAACGAGTCTGATATTCCCCAAAGGGGTGATAGAGCTTATGGGGCTTATATTCCCCCAGCGCCTAGATCATTTGGTAAGGATACCTAACTTTCTCTGCTTATCTGTCCATCTCTCTTTTGAGCTGCAATTGAACATTTATTTAGGCTTTCGGACAGATACTATATTCTGGAATCTGGATTGTGCTAACGAGTCTGATATTCTGCAATTGAACAATTTTTTAACTGCTCTAAGGACAATGATTAATGAATAAAAAATATAATTTTTTCTATTAAAGAAAGTTATTAATGAAAACTATTCATTTTTTATTTCTTAAGCTGGGCCCTTAGGATGGCAGTTAAAAAATGCGATATTGTATGCATGTCTGAGATGTACAAGCTACTCTGAATTTGTCTTTGGATTCCCGTTTAAAAGTCAGTAAACGCGGATTTAATGCAAAAGCTATAACTAAATAATGTTGAAATAAACATAGATCTATAACTAGTAAACGTGAAACTAAACATGCACTTAGTAGCATTAGAAGTAATGCACGTCCGTGGTGGGTAGGCATCGAACCAAACATGCTATTAATATATAACAAGTGACATGCAATGTATGGTCGAATAATAGACAGACATGTATGGTTAATTTAGTCCTTTTGTACAGGACATAAGCTTAATGAATATGTTCTTTGTTTCAGACAATACTACTTGCTGCTAATTTTCATGAATGCAGTAAGAGGTTTCACTAATCTTGACAAACTTGTTGATAAGGCTGATATATGCTTTAATAACGTACTATAAATGGAATATGGAAATGTTTTCCCTTTTTTAAAGGAAGGGCAATACGCATAATTTCGATCAATTAATAAATGATAACTTTTGATGCTTGGATCCAAGCAAATTACATGCAATGTCAACAGAAATCAAGATAATGGAAACAAATTTGTGAACTTGTTTAGAAGTATGTTTAACTTCCCATATTCCATCTTTTTAGCAACAAATATCTGTCTAGAGAACTGTTTTGCTGTTTTTGTATACTTGATTTTATTTCTCATCTTATAGACAAAAAATTAATGAACATGTTGCTAAATTCACTTTGATAGAATATTCAATACACAGTATGCAATTGGTTAATATTTTACCTACTGGTGTGACTGTGAAAATATGATTTAAAAATAAAATCTAGCAACTCTCTTTCTATCTTTTTGCTGTTTGATCTTTTCTTTCCTGATTTTGAGCAGAAGCATAAAGTTTTAAAGTTCTGAAGAAATCTTTTATCAAAAGAAAGTTCATAAGAAACTAAAATACCTAAATTGGTAAGTTCAATAGGGTTTTGGTTTCAACTTGGGTGAATTGCTTAATCAGATGGATGAATGTAGAAGATATGCTTATTATGGATCACTTCACCTCTATTCCTTCACGTTGATCTGCTAAGACTTTGATGTTTAAGACATTGATATTGAACATATTATTTTTACATGCTACTTTTTTCTGCTTTGAATGGTGCTTAAGAAATTCCAAGGCACCAATTACTGCTACGTAATTATATCAAATCTTTGGACTGGAGATTGATTGGCAATGAAAAATGTAGAACCAACACAACATATTGGTTTGACCTTGTTTTGAAACTTTTTCCACAGAATTTGTAGAAGATGTGGATCTCTTGATCAGAAGGGCTGAGAGATGTTTAGAAGCGGGTGCAGACATGATAATGATTGATGCTGATGATGTCAGCAAACATGCAGATAATATGCGCGCCGATATTATTGCTAAGATCATTGGGCGGCTTGGTCTTGAGAAGACTATGTTTGAAGCATCAAACCAAAGAACATCCGAATGGTTTATCAAACAATATGGTCCAAAGGTAAATGCTCTACTAAATAATTATAGTCATAGTTTCCCTTTTTACTAAGTAAGAATATCTGAGTAAGAATGAGAAACCTTTCCTACAGCTTTGTTGACATTATAATGCTTTGTTCAGGTGAACCTCTTTATTGATCATTCGCATGTGGTGGATGTGGAATGTCTCAGGGGACGAAACTTGGGTAAAAATCATGCTTCTGTCCTCGGTTCTTCATATTTCCTGTTCTGAAGTGATGGGATTTAATGTATAGCACCTGTGGGATAAGTTTGTTAAGGGAAAGTCTTGAGTTGTGTGTTGCATTGGGTGTTACATATTTCCTTTATAGATTGAAAATTGAGAAAATTTAAATGGAGAGATTGAAATAAATGTAACATCTTTAATGGAATTTCCCTTATTAAATTTGTCTTGGATTATTCAGAGGAAAAGCTCCTAATCAAACAGAAGGAATAGTAAATATCTATTAAGATTTTATTGAAAATATCAAAATAGAATACAAAAGAAAACACGTACATATTATAAACTCATCATGCACGCAAAATTTTAATATAGGACCGCTTCACTGGAAAAGGTACCTTGTATGCCTTCTGAGGTTAAAGAGAGGTGGATGGATTCTGGAAAGTGGAAAGAGATGATGAGTAACCCATTCTCCGTTAGAATCAGCTTTAAGAATTTTAAAACTTGTATTAATAATTTTCTTGTCAATCTTGGTGATTCAAGGCTTTAGCTCCATTTTAAGACCTAGGCAGATAGTTCCTTCGTTATGCTTACACGGGTTTTTTTTGTCCCTTGCTTTTTTTTGTTTATATAGTTTTAAGAAATAAAATGATATACTGGTAATTTAAAAAATTAAATTAACCTGTATTCATATTTCAAGAATTGATTTACTAATTCATTCATAACTAATAAAATGATTTTGGCATTAATTGTGTGCTTTTAGGATTTAAAATTATGTTCAGATACAATTTAATCATGTTATTTTCAAATTTATTGCCTTAAAATGCAACTCAGATTGTATTTTTGAAGCTATGGTTTGGGTTATACAAATTATAGTTCAAATATAAAAAATATGGTTCAATAATTTTGTCCATATCATAATAACAATTATTTTGACGAAAATCTAGGAGTCCAAGAACTGTTTCTAAAAATCATTTGTTACAATTTTCTCACGTTCCTTTTAATAAATTTTCTATCATTAAACGAAATTCATTTAAGACATTAAATAATTTACTCTTATTCTTTATATAGTGAAATTAATATAAAATTCATGCAATAAAAAATGTGTCGAATGATTCATACTACTGATTTTTCTTAATCTTTTGATAGAATGGATGTTCTCTTCCTCTATAACAAATTACAAGTTTTAGTATTATGAGAACTTTTGGGTTAAAGTTGGTGTACTAGGTCATATAAATTATTAAGACGCTATTATTTTTAGTAACTTTTAATAATTTATCATGGCAATTAAATATTAGACACTAATATTATATAAGGTATAGTCCTGATACACTAACTTAAATCCATTAAATTATACAAGATTTTTATGTTTACCTTATGTTGAACTAATTTCAATAGGAAGAGTATAGTTCAAAAACAAGAAATTTAATCCTTTATTTCTGAAAAGTAATGAACTCAATTGTTTAATCTTAAAAAGAAATGATTTCTTAGAAGCATTGTTACTAATAATGATCCTACTTGATTTAAGCATAATTATGTCCGATAAAAATTACATGAATTTTCGTAGAAATAAAGTTTAAAAGAAAATTGACGGTAAAATGTGTTTTTATTTCGTACCTTGATAAGTGTATAAATTAGTTTTATATAAACAAGTTCTTTTACGAAAAAAAATTTCTTGAACATAAAATTGTTTATTTATAAATTATATTTATTATTAATTCAATTTAAAGTAAAATGTGACTTGCGAAAGCATACATAGGAGATGTCTGAATAGATTAAGGAAAAGCAAAGAGAAACCCAGTATAATTGAAAGCATATCATATTACGTTAGCTTTGCAGTTTCACTCAGAAAACATGGAAACAAACATGCCCATAATAAGGGCTACTTGCCCTATTTTTCTGAAAAGAAATTTTGGCGTGAAAAATGGTTACTTTTACACAACCGTTCCTTCGTAATTATTATTTTTTTATATCCATCATTTTACGTTAGCTTAGATGGGGTAATGGACGAGAGTAATAAGGGGAGAGAATTAAACATGTTATTTTATCCCTCGTCTAAACATATTATTAGAGTAAAAAAAAGAAACAGTAACAAGACTAAAATAAATGGCTTGACACTACTAAAATCTATGTATAAAGAATTGGATAAGCAGCTTTAATTAGTTGATTTTAAATTAGAACTTACTTTACAATTTATTTCTCTCTGTGTTCTCGGGTTACCAGAAGAAGCACTTGATTTAGGCAAAAGGGCAGAAAAAGGAAGAAATGTTAATAAAAGGAGGGGTGTAAAGGTAGAAAGAGCGTTTACTTTATTTGACGCGGATGGTTCCTCACACAGCACAACAATAGCATTTTCCCTTTTCCTTTTTCATCTGTGGTCGTTACATTGCAACCTTAACGCTCTTCTTCACCAAACACGCGCCATTTCACTCTCACTTTTCCTTTTTCCTTCGGAGTGAAGGGTAACGCTTCCCCTTCTCTCTCTTCTTCCATCCAATCACCTTCGCTTTTCTCATTCTTTGCTTTTTATGTGCGCATTTTCGTTTACTGTCTCTGATTATTAAGTCTGCTTCTATCTTGTTGTGTAGCTGTGTGCAAATTGTCGAAAGAAGAGTTTAAAAAAAGGTACTTTTCTTCTACGGGTATAATGATATTGAAGCAATTACTTGTGCTAAAACCAGTATTTGATTCAGGTGTTTACTCGTACCAGGTTCAATTTTCTGATCAAGTTGTTTCTTTTTGCATAATTGGCAATTATCTTGTTTAATTTGGGGATATGGGTTTCTGTAGATGGGATCAATTGGTTTAATGTAATGATTCTCATCGTGGATTTGGGGGGAGAATGGTATGTTTTCATTGGTCATTGCATTGAAAGGCTTGTTTTTGTTGTCTTTGGGGGGTTGCAATGGTTTAATGTTGAGTTGTTCTCTTTTGGTTGTGTTTTTATTCATAGCCAGACTCATTTTGCTAATGCTGTTTAATCTTTGGTAATTTATGCCTTCAAATCAGAGTTTGTCTTTGTCTTGCTTGGGATTGAGTAGATTGCTTTCACCATCTTTGTTTTGTGTTGTGAAATGCTGCGATTTAGTTGGAGTTTTCCATTTATTCAATATGTGGGATTTTTCTAATTCTTTATATGATTATCAAAAGCTATGGCTGTGCATACGATGTTGCACTTAGCTGACCCATGTTGATATTTATTAGTTAATTGAGGATCACATATAAATTCAGCAGAGAAACTTTGTAATTCCTAGGTTATGTTATGCAATTTTGCCATCTTCCTGCATTCTGTATCTGATGAAATGCATGTGAAATTGTGGCTTATTTACTGCTGAGATGTTTTCATCTATTAGCATTTAGCAACTCCTTAATCAATTTAAGGATTTGGGTGAGACCTGTTTTTTGTTTAAGGCTATATTCTGAATTCCTATGTACTTTTTCCCTTGATATATCTGCTATTTCTAGCTCCCCAAAAAATACCAATAGAATACTAATTGACATTAAAACTTCATATTCTATTATATGTGATTGTAATTGCATTTCTTGATACTCTTGCTAATAATGTTCGACATGATGCACAGATTCAGGCAGTGAAGTAGGTAAGTGTGGAAGCCATGGTTCTTGACTCCATATTGTCTTCTCCTAGTATGAGGTCACCATCTTTCAAGAGGCAGTATACAAAGTATGAACTGGGGAGTTGGTCAACACTCGTGGGGAGGCACCGCTTCCTCTTATCTGCGCTTGCTCTACTGACTGTCCTCTGTACCGTTTACCTTTATTTTGCTGTTACATTTGGAGCCAATGACTCTTGCTCTGGGTTGAGTGGACCTCAGAAAGCTTCCTGTCATATGAAGCATGTGAAGGCTTCTGTAGCCAAGGGAAATCTCAAAAGTCTCAGACATTTCTGATTTTAATACAAGTTACGGTGGAGATTTTCTCTTGTTCTTTTTTCACTTTAGGTGATGAAATCAAAATATGATCTCGGGCTGCAGTGTAGTATTATGTGTTATTTATACCAACTGTTTATCTTGGCATTTGTGAGAATGTACAAAGCATGTAGAAAGCAATTTCTTGATTGTTAATTTTGGGATTGCTTTCTCTTGGCTAATATAAGTATAGCTGTGCATCCTAGCAGCATAAATCAAGTTTGAGTTTTTACCATGGCTAATTCAAAACTTCAGATTTATCATTTGTGTAATTTGGTTTATTTTTAAATGTAAATTTTTTTTTAAAGTTTTGTTAACTTCAGTACTTTAAGCTGAATTTAAATATTTATAAATAAAAAAAATTATAAAAAAAAGTACGTATTTTTTATTAATGCTATAAAAGTATAATAAATATTTTTTTAATAAAATTTTATTATCATTAATTGCTTAAGGTTAACATTTTTTTAATATTATCATGATATGTTAGTTGTTACGAACCCGGAAGTTGAATAATTTTGGAAATAAGTTGGAAAGGTAATCACATTTAAAAATAAATTTTCAATAATTGTATAATTATAAATTATTTTTACTACTTAGTGTTTTAGAACATTTTTTAGATTGGAAAGAAAATCTTGATTCTTTCATTGTTTTTCATTAGCTTGTAAGGATTTAAATAGCATTTTTTGTATTTTTCTGTTTTTTCTCTGTAATTAAAATTAACACTTCATTTAAACACAAATTATGATTAATTTGAAATTGGTGAAAATTTTTGAGAAAACAATTTGTATAGTCATACTGAAAAATAAAATTTACTTTTAATTGTTTGTTTTTTATGAAATATTATTTTTTAATTAAAAGTGACAAACATCTTTTAAGTCTTTTAAAATAAGCAAGTGTGTAAAAAAAATGAAAAAAATCTATTGTTAACTTAATATTTTAAGAATATTAAGTAGGAAATTGCATAAAAAAAATCATGTTAAGGATGGTTAGAAATTATGAGATGAGTATTGTTGCATTTTTTTATAAAATTTTTATTCAATTTTTTTAACCTATGCTCCTTAAAATCTTATTACTCTTTTTATTTAAATTAAAAATATTTTATAAAATTAATTAATTATAAATTAATAAAAAAGATTAAAAATATATTGTTTTATAAATATATTTTTTATTTGTTTTTATTTTTTAACCAAATGAAAAAAATGTATACTTATTTGTATTTTTATTTTCTTTCTTCTCATAGAAAAATAGTATTTTCGGGTTCTATATTGATGATCCGACCCGGTCCACAATCAAAATTGGATCAAGTAACCGAATAATTTTTAGCATCGATCCATAATCCATGGTGATGATCCATTGTTTTCCTATTCAGCAAGACGGGATTTGGGGTCGTCAGAGAAATTGCTCCGATTTTCAGATAGTTATGTCGTCGGAGAAAGAAGCTTCAACATCCACAACAAATCGCAAGTTATCGTGCTCCACTTGCTTCGATGCTCTCTGGTTCTGCTACTGTAATACCCATTTCCCTAAAACCTAAAAAGCTTGTCTTTTCCAACTGGGTCATCAAAGTAATGTTGAAGTTTGTGCCTTTATTTTGTGCAGCCCCGGTTCATCAAATGCAGCAGTATTATAGGCTTGGGGTTCTCGACAATTGTTCCGATAAATGGAGAGCGATGGTTGATTGCTTATTGCTCAAGACCAAACACGCTTCTCAAGTCCAGGTTGCTTCCTTATTCCTACTCATTAATGGATGTGCAAGAGTTGTGTTTCCTTGGATGTTGTTTATATATGTTAAAAGCATTTGTAGATGTTGGGTTAATATTCTTTTGCCATGCTCCATTATGTTTGTGCTGCACTTTTGATTGAAGAACATCTTATTTTCATGTTATTTTTTGCTGTGTTTGGGGATTTTGAAGAGGGTGGGTGTTTTTTTTCGCTATTTTCACTTTCCAACTCTAATAATTTTATGGAAGTGAAAAACACTCCTTTTAAAATGAGATCATATCATTTTAGGGTAACTCTATACGAAAATGTTTGGAGGAGTAAACCTCCAAGTTGGTTTATGAGATTTTATGGGCAATATTAGTTCCTAACTAACGAGAACTGACACCTTAATGCTTCATTTTGTAAATACCACTTTATAACATGTTTGGATTCACATTTACAAGTTTTTTAACATGTTTCTAAACACACACTTAGTCCTTAACGACAGTTAAAAATATAGTTAGAAAGGATTAAAGGAAATAAAAGAGAGATGATATAGAATTTTGTGCGGTAACTGACTCTTGATGGCAGTGCATGAGATAGAGTGCTGTACTGGTATATTTGTATTTCAAATTTGGTTGATTTTTTGTATTTTATTTCACATTTGTGACTAGATAATGTTTTTTGTGCGACAATATTGTAGAGTACTTTTGAAGTGTGTGTGTAAAAAGAGAGTAAAAGTTTAGCGAGAGATGGGGATTAATGTATGTAGTGTCAAATAGTCATATACGATGGTCAGAATTTGTTGTACAAATAATAAAATTCTTAGAGGGCTAAGGAACCAGCCCAACCAAGTTTGTCTTTCAAATTTAATGCATGTTCCATCAAAGAAAATTATTTCTCTTCATTGCAAGTTTTGCATTTCTACTTTGATGCACATTTTGCTGCTCTGAAAAAACAGCACAGCCCCGCGAGATGACCATGAGCTTTTAATTATAAATGTTTCTTTTAAAAAATCATTATTTTACCATCTGCTGTTTTACATTTGCATGATCTAAATAATCTGGCTCAAACAGTTCATCTGGCTTTTCCTTTGTAACATGCTGTAACCCGGGTGCAGGAAGCTCTAGAAACTAAAGAGAAATCAAAGACACACATTTGGACATTTCGGACACCAGAAGAAGCTTCATACCACTGGAAAGAGCTTTATGGTCATTTAGATGAGCCTGAATTATGAAAATAAATTCGTGCCAATGAACATTGTATATTGCCTTCTGATTTTGCTGGTGATTGAGAGGAAGAGAAGAGACCAAAGAAGGCTTATATCAAATTGAAGATGCCAGGGAGCGAGATTTTTATTCCATTTTTTGTGCAGTCGTCACATTGAATTTTGTATTCAGAAGACTTGGCATATTGAGTTTTTAATAATCTTTTTAAAAGTATAATGACTTTGTTTTCGGGATTTTTTTCTCCTTATAAAATTTTTGCACTTGATTTATGGCCCTCCTATTATCATGTCATAATTTGCTGTCCACATAAGTTATCTCATTGGATGATAGTCATAGTCCTATGAAATCTATCTAACTGCACTTGCAGGATTTTTCAATGCGGATTTAAAATCCGTGTATCTTTTAGTATGCATACTCAGTTGAATTCAATGCGGATTTAAAACCCATACTAAAATCATACTTAGATAATCTGTACACTACATGATTGTGGCTTAAATGCAGTTTTCTATTCTTTATTTGACTTCGATTTTGTTTTCACCCTAAAGTTGGAGCTGTAAATATACTAATATTTTGTACGTTTCTTATTTAGATGACCGTTGTTTAATAATGTTAACGAGTAAAAATGGCAGTCGCTTAATAATACTTAAAACAAAAATGATATTTTATAATTTTCAAAATTAAATTAACCAATACTTATGAGTAACTATATTTCTACATTTACTTTTTCTTTTAAAAATTTTTGATCTCTTATTTTCCCATCTCTTTTTTCTTTCTCCATTACTTTATTTATTACATCTTTTATTCTTTTTTCTTCGACTCATTCCTCACCTCGTTTAAGAGGTATGAATAAATCATTCTCGTGAGGTTTTTAAGGGCGGCGCTATCGTAATTTTCCTAGTACCGTGTTTTGACTGTGTTTCTTAAATGGTTACTTGGCTTATTTACGTTTATTACTTGGTTTGATTTTCCTTAGCAGCCAGCAATAGGGAAGATAAATTTATCAACAATGCTGCATGATATGAGAAAACAACACCACGACAGATTGACGAGGAATAGTGGGAGAAAGAAAAGTTGGAATAATAGGACATAGAAATATGGTTTTTAAGAGTATCCAAAAATTGACGAGGACTAACTAGACAGACGAATTAATTTTCTCCATTCAATTCATTTGTTCAATTCCTTTCTTTTAATGTCCTATGTATTATTAATTTATGGGGATGCTTTGGATCTTTTTTAAACGATGAAACGATTCCAAACAAAAACGCAAAGCAAAAAGCTCAGATAATTATTTCTTACTTAAAACGTCAAAAATATTAATTTTTCTTTATGTTACATAATGGTTAATTCAATTTTTAAGAAGAAATAATCCATTTTTTCAAAAAATTAAAAAAGAAATATTATTTTCACATAACACACTGATCCAAATATAGTTTGCTCTATAATCTCCCCATGCGTAGAACAGCTGCAATATTATACCGAGAATAAAAAGGCATTAGTAAAAATTTATGACAGAATAAAACATATATAAAAGAGTAGCTAATGTGCATTTCTTATTTAATTCTGTAGACATTTTATTTTGAGAAATCATGATATAAATTAAAAAAAATAATACTAAATGGTATTACAAAAACTATATACTCCTATCTATCAGTATTTTACATTTTTGGTGCGTCTTAGATGCACTTTTCGGGTGATTCTAATATCCTTCATTCTTTTGTAAGAAGTAAGATAAAATTATCTTTTTCAAAAGTTTTCAAACATCGTAGCCCGTTGATTAAAATCGAATGGTTAAAAATAAAAGACAAGAAACTGGTTATACAAGTTACATTTAGAAAGGATATATTAATAATTTTGGTGCCCTTTCATTCTGTTTCTCTTTTTTGTCTTCTCCCTTTTTTCTTCTTCAGCATCAATAACATAGCTCAAACTCAGGAAAAATATGAAAAAACACTAAAAAAAACTGGAAACATAAATTAATATTCTGGAGGTGGTCAACAAGTTCTTATCCTTATTCATGTTCTGTAATAAAAGGACACATATGTTAAAATATGATAAACATGGATTTACCAAGAATCTTTATTGAATATGTATATGTTCTCTTCCTATCCTTGAAATACTGCATATTTTACTTAAGAAAATCAAGTTTTTGTCGAAAATTTATGTCAAAAATTACAACAAACTCATAGTCTTTCACATAGTCACAACTCTTAGCAGACTTGAGATTCTCAACTTTATATCCTGGACTAACGGATAGACCTTTTTTGACTTCATTTTGTGACCTGATTAACCATTGTCTCCTCTCTATTATGTATGATAAAGTATACAACAATACCATCTCTTCCCACGCCTTCAGATGTGCCCCTTTACGTTGCTCCTTTCTACATTAGTTATATGAGGAAAATCTACATAGAAGTTGTATTTTTTTAAAAAAAAGTATATATACTTTCTACATTAGTTCTCTAAAAAAACTAATGTAGAAAATTGTTTGGTTTATGTCTCTATTCTTTACATGAGAGAACCCATGTAGAAGTTATTATTATTTTTTAATATACTTTGTAAAGATTTATTGTTTTGGTCCTCCAATTCAACCAATATACAAGTTACTTATGGATGGGCTCTTTTACAGTAGTTAGGCTATAGAGCCGATTTTGAAATATTAACCTCAATCTGCAATGTTGACGCTAGATGTGTATTCTACATTGATTCAACCAGTTCACTGATGTCATTGTCTCACAATCATATATTATATTATATTATATTATTTTGTGTGATAGAACCGATTAGTTATATGCATGAATTTTGTATTCAGTTCAAATCATATCAGTTATAATTTATTATTCTCAATTTTTATTTGATATGACGAAAATAAAATTGTAATCCATTATATTATTATTGATATATTATATTTAAAAATTTGAATTTGATATAATTAATATAAAATTATATCTGTATATATTTGATTTTAAAAAATTATATTATATAATTATTTTACATTCATATTGTATTAAAATAAAATTGATATTTTTTTTACTTTGCATTATTTATTCACTACACACTGGAATTCACCATTATACCTAATCAGTCTAGGAATAAATTGGCTTTTGTGTAGGTCACTAACTTAAAAAGAATGATATATAGATAGTTTCTACAATTGTTCACTACTTAAGAGATGTTAAATTGTGGTTACTGTGTAACAAATGTTTAACAGACTTTTGCATCGGTTGTGTGATAAAACTAATATCATTAGGCGACTACCTTTTACATTTGCGCATGGACTTTATTTGCATCGGTTATGTGGCAAAACTGATATCATTAGGCAACTACCTTCTACATTTTATGCACGAGCTCTTTTTGCATCGGTTGTGTGGTAAAACTGATGTCATTAGGCAACCACCTTTTACATATTGCACATGCACTCTATTTGTATCGGTTGTGTGCTAAAACCATTTAGTGGCTTCCCCCTTATCCCTCACCCAACTTTTTTATTTCTACTGCAGCTTTCTCTGTTGTTTGTGAAATTAATTGATTAGATACCTGAGAACCATAATCTTAACTAGGAACAACTTCTACGCGTAAAAGCATGATTATTTCCACAAATCTCACTGCACTGACCATAGTAAACCCCTTCTCGTTGTACCAAAATAGAGATCTGATTTAAATGACTAGATATAGCATCACATTTGACACCTAAGGAAGGTATAGCCCAACTACGAGGTACATTAGCTGAGTGTTACAATAATACGTAAATGAGTTTTGACTGGTACAACCACTCTATTGTCCACTTCTAATAAAGTAATTGACCCAATTTTAGATCATCTTCTGGAATTGTATAACTGTCAAAAGTGAATGATTGTTCATCCTAACTGTTATAGTTTAAATACTTATAAGTCCAATACTATTGATGTCTAATAGCTTTGATAGCAATGATTGGATCTACTACTACCTTATCTATTGAGTATAACAGAGCAAATGATGGTTATGTCTGCTCACGACAACCTTTTTCATGTTGGACATAAACTGTATTTAGATTGATTGAGTGAATAACTTCTATATGTATTTGTTAACATTTTCAATATTTAATCTTAGCTATACAATTTTAATTTGTCATAATCAACGACTCAGGCACTCTGAAGTGTGAAAGACAGTCCAAAATGGTGGCGTATGACTAAGTGATAGAGAGTAATGTCATGGTGGGTAAGTGACATGAAGAATATTTTAATACAAAATGGAACCGTCAAGCCAAAGAAAACACTAACAGGACAAATACAGTGCTCATCCTCAGTTTAAAATATTCAAACCAAACAGTGCGTTGAAGTAATGGAACCAATCTATTTAAGAAGCAAACAACTCTGCATCTTACCTCACTTATATTAATAAATTTGTCCCTTTGGAGAGAGTGTTGAAACATGGCGAGTGTCAAGCAAGTCGGAAAGAAGGCTTGTGTGATCGGTGGCAGTGGGTATATGGCATCTTTGCTGATCAAGCAGTTGCTTGGAAAGGGTTATGCTGTTAACACTACTGTTAGAGACCCAGGTTAGCCCTCTCTCTCTCTCTCTCTCTCTCTCAGGATGTCATAATGAAAGTGTTTATTTATTCTTTGTTAAACTAAAAGTTTTATCCTTGACACCCAATTTTTATTTTACTATTTATTTGAAAAAAAAAGTTATATTTTACTTCCTAATAAACATAAATTAATAAATTAAGTATTATCCTTTGTCTATGCTATCTTGGTATAGATTTTATCACTATACTCGATAACAATTCTTTATTTAAATTCATACACAAAATTTTTGTATTTATTTTACACGTGCCGTGTAACTTGAAACTGTATTTGTAACAAGTATTTAGCTCAATTAATTAGGATGAAGTAGGATTTGAGAACTTATATGACCAAGTTATGAACCTTTTTTTAATGTAAAATGATATCATTAATTTGCATAATCATGTACAAGGGGCTCCTGTTGAATTAATTTACTACATTTCTGTGTGGAACTTTTTGTTCTTGTTAGGACTATTCTTAAAGATGCACTCATATTATCCTTAGTTTTTATTTTATTTTTGTATGGTGTAAATATCTTCTCCAGTTTTTTTTTTTTTTTAATTTTCACCTAATGTAAATATTTCTTTCAATTTTTGGGTCCCCTGAAGATTAAAGACAAAATTCAAAAGAAAAAGATAGTTACCCGTTAGTTGGCTCAAATTTCAGAGTAGAGTCCAACCAATATTTTGCTGTGAGAGTCCAAATAAGAGTTTGGTACGAACAAAAATTTTATGTATGTACTTCCTGCAGGTAATCCCAAAAAAATATCTCACCTTGTGGCACTGCAAAGTTTGGGCCAACTCAAAATATTTGAAGCAGATTTAACAGTTGAAGGAGATTTTGATGCCCCCATATCAGACTGTGAACTTGTATTCCAATTTGCTACACCCGTTAACTTTGCTTCTGAAGATCCTGAGGTACATTGAAACCGCATAGTAAACTTTTCCACCAAATTGGATGCTTTTACATGTGTAGTGTGTTAAAAAATTAATGGTTGTGCAAACTACTATTCAGAATGACATGATCAAGCCAGCAATCAAAGGCACACTGAATGTGTTGAAATCATGTGCACGAACAAAAGATGTGAAACGAGTCATCTTAACATCTTCAACAGCTGCTGTAACAATAAACCAACTCAATGGGACAGGTCTTGTTATGGATGAAAGCAACTGGACTGATGTTGAGTACTTGAGCACAGCAAAGCCTCATAGTTGGGTAAATAATCAAACCTTAATCAGATAATAACATTGGGATGTAAACAAATGTGCAATGGTTCTTCACAATGCCCTACATCAGTACCATTCCTAACTAAAATTGATTAAGGCTAAGTTTAAATCCTTGTCGGAAAAAAAATTAAATATTTTTATTTTAATTTATGGATATCCACTTTTTTAGAAGGTTTTTCATATTGATTTTAATTTATAGAAAAAGTTTAATTTATCTAATCTATTTGATATCATCTTTTGTAACTATTTATTAAAAAACTTTATGATTACTAGATATATAGCATGTTCAGATCACCATTCAAAAGCGTGTGAACTCATGTTTATTAAAACACTATTAATTATAACTTATACATTAAATTTACCTTTATAGTATTGTCAGTGTGTTTCCAAACACAGACTTGATTCATGGATAGATTGTGAAAAGTAAAGTTCATCTTAATGTGTAGGGATATCCTGCCTCTAAAGCACTAGCAGAGAAGGCTGCATGGGAATTTGCTGAAGAGAATAACATTGATCTCATCACTGTGATACCGACACTCACAGCTGGTCCTTCTCTCACTCCAGACATCCCAATCAGTGTTGGGTTAGCCACGTCCTTGCTAACAGGTTCACAAACTACCATTTATCCACTGGTTTAGGGAATGTTACACGTGCCACATGAATTTTTAATGGCACTTTGATTTGTTGACACCTTGCAGGCAATGATTTCTTCTTTAAGGCTTTGAGGGGAATGCAATTGCTGTCAGGTTCAATATCCATCACTCATGTGGAGGATGTTTGCCGAGCACATTTATTTGTGGCAGAGAAAGAATCAGCTTCTGGTCGATATATTTGCTGTGCTCACAATACTAGTGTTCCTCAGCTTGCAGAGTTTCTTAGCAAACGATACCCTCAGTATAAAATTCAACCTGAGTAAGCTTCTAATCATGCATATTTGTGTGAAAATTCTTCACTTTTAATTCCTTATCCAATTTTTTTTTGGAGTATTCATTAGCGAAACCCTTTTAATAAATAAACAGCCTTGCCTTTTGGTCTTGGATATATTTTTTTTCATGGAATTTCATCCTTCTGAGAAATTCTTCGGTGAGCCATGCCCACATGCCAAGGCCTACAACTTTAATAACGTAGAAACTCATGAAATTGCATTTTAAAATTTTAAATTTTATCAACCTTGCAAATTTGCAAAATTCGAGTGTTTTTAAGGGATGGCTTTCCATCTATTAAAGCCAAGTATAAGTGCCACTTTGTAATTGCAGATTCGATGACATCCCCTCCAAGGCTAAGTCAGTCATCTCTTCCGAGAAGCTTATCAAAGAAGGATTCAGTTACAAGTATGGGATTGAAGAAATTTTTGACCAGACTATTGAGTACTTGAAGTCTAATGGTGCGCTGAAGAACTAATGTTCTTGCGGGCTCTGAAGAACTATATTTAATGCTCTTTCGTGGTTTTCACACAAACTTATTTGTACTTTTCATCTTTATATTTTAATTTATATATGTTTTTATTTATTTATTTACTCATGATGAGGTTGAATAACGGAGGATAAATATATAATAAATAAATAAATACTTTTAAAATTTTATAAAAAAATCTTATATTAAAGACCAACAAAAATCTTTAAAATGTTCTTGTAAAAAGAATTAAGTAGAGTATCTAACTGCAATCTACTTCATCAAGTTGAGTGTGTTACATTAAGCGAATAGCTTCAAAAAATAGAGTGCAGAGTGTTACATGATAAGAAAGATTCATCTTTGCCTGTGAAGTAATTAGAAATGACTAAAATCTCTTTCATTTTGATTCTTAAAAAAGAAAATATTAAAAATAATCTCAAAAGATGTGAATTTTCATTTATTTTAGTATCTTTGTTGGAATTTGTTAATAACTGGCATATCATATATTGTGAGATTGATTTTTATATTTTTTTTTTTAAATTCGAATTACAAAAATTAAATAGTATTAAATAAAATCAAACTTTTATAAACCATAATAAATGCATGTTTATCTAAAAATTATTAGTATTAACATCAAGTCTCAAATCCTAAATATATAATATAATTACATATCCTAATATTTGATATGATAGAAAAAATGATTATGGTTTTGTTTTTGCACGCGTGTGAAGAGATGGTCTGGGTTAATTTTCCTAGCATGTGTGGTTTGGTATGTTACGATTGAATGTTAGATAGATAGATAGATATAGAGTGGGGTAGACTTGAAATTGAGTTTGGCATGTTTTAACGAGTGACTTGTTGATGTTGAGTCGTTGGTGACGAAACGCTACACCACCAAACATCATCACGTGCTCACCTTAAAGTTAAGATGAAACAAACGCTGTGTTTAATAAAGTAACTCATGAAAGACTTAAAATGTTATTTAAGAAGAAGCTTCACTCCTCAAAACTGTCCTTAATTTGGAGTGAGAGTGAAAACATGGGAATGAAGAAGGCTTGTGTGATTGGTGGAAGTGGGTTCGTGGCCTCTTTGCTCATCAAGCAGTTGCTCCAACATGGATATGCTGTCAACACCACTGTTAGAGACCCAGGTCTCTCTCTCTCTCCCTCTCTCTCTCTCTGGAATGTGTCATATTGAAATTGTTTATTTATATTAGAATAAAGTTTGTTTAGGGGCATCAAGTGTGGAAAAAAAGGACAATGAAAAAAAAAGAACGAGGGAAAAACAAGAAATTCAAATATATATTTTTTTCTTCTCATTTGTACGTGTCAATATTGGGGTTCACATTAGATGGCTGAAAATTGTAAGAAATTGTGTACTGTGTACGAGCTTCATTTTTTTTTTTCTATTTAAAAAAAAACAAATAATCCATTTAAAGGGAGTTTAAACTACAACAAATATTTTTGTTTTAAACAAAATATATTAAAAAAAATTATGTTTCTTCGTTGAAAATACTCATCAGGCTCTAAAGACTTTTAAGAACCTATTTAAAAAGTACACAGGATTGATTATTTTTAAATTAATTTTTTTTCTGTCACCCCGCTTTATTAACAAATTAGCAGGTTGACCCATATAAATATTAAATATTAAAATTATATGAATTTTAAAAATAAAAATAAAAATATAATTAAATTTTAACTAATATAAATAAATAATTTTATTAATATTAAGATTTAACTTTTAATATTTATTAAATTTATATATGTAAAAAATAAATATATATAAAAAAAATTATTTTATTTTATCTATTTATTTATTCAATGGGTAATCCACTCTACTTAACCTGTTTTAAAATGTGAATCAAGCAGATTGGGATTAAGCAGGTTCGTAAATTTTGTTGGGTTTAGTGAGTCAACCCAATATGTTAAACCATAATGCCAACCCTAATTGAAAATCAATTATAGTTTAGGGTTGGAGAAAACAAATTTTCAAATAGGCACTAATTTGCTATTGCAACCCATTAAAACAAAGTTTCGACCACTAGTAATTTGCTTTAGAGAAAAATATATCAAAAATCGTGTTTCTCCATTGAAAAAGCCTATTCAAATAGGCTCTAGGTGTTTCTTTGATATTTTACTTAAATTTTTTTCCTTCCTTCACTCCTCCTATTGTAAGATAAAAGAATAAAAAACTTGTGTTGGGGTCCATTAACAGTTAAGTACATGAGTTACAAATTCATCGGTAAGAAATACATATTTTTATCAGTGTAAAATTTTTCTTGTATCATTTTTAAAAAAGGGAAAGAAAGTTCATAAGTTTTTTTTTTCGATTGCCTTCTGTTTTTGTCACGTCTGATATAGTCTTGAGTTTTAGGATAGCTCTTTTTGTAATCACCAAAAATATTATCTTTCGAAGAAAAGAAAACAAAACCTACTAAAAAAAAATTGCTATATCCTAAAAAAAATTAAAAATAAATAAATAAATAAATATATATATATATATATATATATATATAAATAAATAAGATTCCAATCGTATAAATTAAATAATATAATGGCTGAAAAGTTACTTTTTTTTCTCTCCGCTTGTATTTTATTGTTTTGATTAATCAAGGTTGAATATAAATTCAGATCTTTTCGTGTTGTCGGCTATCATGATATAGATCTTGGAGAGAAAAAGACACTTTTTTTTTTATCAAACAAGCACCTACTATAATTCGTTTCCACTAATTTTATTGGTTAGCTCATAACAAGAAGTACCTGGCCTCTCTCCCTTCAGAAGTAGTATTGTAGAATAGAGTCCAAATATGATTTTATTATATTGATGTTTTGTGCAGATAATCCTAAAAAAATATCTCACCTTGTGGCTCTACGAAGTTTGGGCGAATTGAATATATTTGGAGCAGAATTAACAGTTGAAAAAGATTTTGATGCCCCTATAGCAGGCTGTGAACTTGTTTTCCAGCTTGCTACACCTGTGAACTTTGCTTCTGAAGATCCTGAGGTAGATTGGACACTGAACTAGAAACTGCATTATGAACTTTACAACCAAATTGAATGCTTTTACACGTACATGTGCATGTTGGAGAAAAAGACTAATGGGAAATTCTTTTGCAATTACTATTCAGAATGACATGATCAAGCCTGCAATCACAGGCGTATTGAATGTGTTGAAAGCATGTGCACGATCAAAAGATGTTAAACGAGTCATCTTAACATCTTCAGCAGCTGCTGTAACTATAAACCAACTTAAGGAGACTGGTCTTGTTGTGGATGAAAGCAACTGGACTGATGTTGAGTACCTCAACACTGCAAAGCCACCTACTTGGGTAAAAATCCAACCTTAATTTAGAACTTAGGATGGAGTGGGGAATGAGAGTAAGCGTTATTCACTTTAGTATCTCACATTATAAAAATTTTACTCACTTCATAAAATATTATAAAATTTCTTTCAATTTAGTAACCTTTTTACTGTATCTTTTTGTCAGCAACCTGTCATTTAAGACAGAAGTTAAAAGAATTTATAACATTCTATGAAGTTGGAACAAAAGTAAAACTTTTTCTAGTTAGGGACTAAAATAAATAACACTTACAAAATCTCAAGGGTCGAAGTAGTGATTTGCGTTGCCTTGTTGCCATTCCTAATAGGATGGTTAGTCATTGGATAGATTCTGAAGTTCATACAAATGTGTAGGGGTATCCTGCCTCCAAAACACTAGCAGAGAAGGCTGCATGGAAATTTGCTGAAGAAAATCACATTGATCTCATTACTGTGATACCTACTCTCACAACTGGTCCTTCTCTCACTCCAGACATCCCATCAAGCGTTGGCTTGGCCACGTCCCTTATAACAGGTTTAAATATACCGGTTTAAGGACTGTTTGGACATGTAAAAAATTCTATATTTTTTGGACCATAGTGAATGACCCATAAATGTTTCAATGGCATTTTTCTTTATACTTTGCAGGCGATGATTTCCTTATAAACGCCTTGAAAGGTATGCAGTTTCTGTCAGGATCAATATCCATCGCTCATGTGGAAGATATTTGCCGAGCACATATATTTGTGGCGGAGAAAGAATCAGCTTCTGGTAGATACATTTGCTGTGCTCACAATACTAGTGTTCCTGAGCTTGCAAAGTTTCTTAGCAAACGATACCCTCAGTATAAAATTCCAACTGAGTAAGCTTCTAATTATACATTTGGCGTGGAATGTTTAACTGAAGGCCCTTTCCTTTTTCATTTTTTATATTCAAGAAATCCCTTTCCTTAGTCATAGAGAAATTCTTGTGTGTTTCTGACAGTCAAAGAAATAAGAAGTGATTATTTCAAGCATTCGGATTTCTATTGTGTTGAAGTGGTTATTTAGGGTATACAATATCTATCTGTCAAAGAATTTCTGTTCTTTTATGCAGGCCACTATATGGGCATACATTTTCTATTTCCTAAGGAATCTGCATTGTGTTGTTTTGACCTGAAAACACTTCATATTGCACTTATGTTTGTGCCTTTCTGATTGCAGATTCGATGGTTGTCCCTCAAAGGCAAAGATAACAATCTCTTCTGAAAAGCTCCTCAAAGAAGGATTTAGTTTCAAGTATGGGATTGAAGAAATTTATGACCAGACTGTGGAGTACTTGAAGACCAATGGGGCCCTGAAGAACTAAATTTTGAATATTTTGATGCCCTGGTAAAATCTCCGCCTGTTAGGTAATAGCAGTTTGCTAATAAGTAATCGGGGGAATAGTAGGTTCATCCTTGTCAATTCTCTACTGTATTACCACTTCATTAAATTACAGACTATGACGCTACCACTTAGTGCAAAGATCTCAATCACTTTATTGTTTTGATTTTATTATGTTTGCCGTTCAAAATTTCTGTCCATGTTTTAAATACAAGCACAGATATGTACTTGAATAATCAAACCTGCTAATCATGACACCAACTAGGTCAAACCATGGGATCTTTTAATCTGAACTGGAAACTTGCAGGGTAAGTTAAACAAAATACTAGTCATTGTTTTAATTAAAGCCTGTTTTTATATCTGATAATAACTACCATATTGGCAATCATTCTAAGCAATTAACTTTCTTACAAATGACTATACCGTCTGTCACAGGGATAGACACGAAATGGGGTAAAAAAATTATCAACCGTGCAATTTATGTCGCATTTTCTTTTCATCTTCAAAGACAATGAAGTTTACTGAGCATACCTTTTTTATCCTTACACTCTCCTCCTATACTCCTAATTCATTAAACTTGTGCGTAGGATCGCCCTAATGCGGTCACGATGTTATTCCCCTTCTATTTCATATTTCCAGCATGGTGAAGAAGTTAAATCGTTAACTAAGTAAACAAAATATTTATACATCCAGAAACACTAGCACTCTGCTAAAACTTAACGACTATGCAATCTGCGCAGCACCTTTGAACTTTCTATTGATGAAAAGTCACGAGTTTCTAGTTGGCCCACTTCAATGGACAATTCCCTTAATGCAGCAGGAGATTTTCGTCTAAGATTTTTCTTACGCCTCTTACAAAGCTGAGATAATGCTTGAACAACATCTTTCATTGGAGGTCGGCTTTTGGAGACTTCATTGACACATTTGAATGCAAGTGAAGCCATGTCATTAAGCTTATGCACATCATATTTTCCATTCAGTCGCGAATCCACAATTTCTTCCCATCCAACCTTATTTTTTTCACCTTCCATGGCTGCCTAATCATAACCAGAAAGAATACTGTGTGAATCTTTAGTATTAAAAGGTTATATACTCAAGATGTATTTTCTAATGCATTAAAATGTATGCATGCAACGCAGCACAAGCATACTCATAGAAGCCCACATGCAGATACTGTTCTTACTAGTTTTACATATTCCATGAGCCCTAGCTGTGGATTCCTGCCAGTGATAAGTTCAAACAGTAGCACACCAAAACTAAAAACATCACTTTTCTTAGTGAAGGTTTTTGTAGACAAATACTCAGGATCAAGATATCCGAAAGTTCCTCTGACGTTTGACATGCGAGGTTTGGCTATATCTGGTCTGGAAAGCCCAAAGTCAGTGACCTGCTCAGTAAAATATAAATGTTATATGTATATTGAAAAGAAAGGTTTTAAGCTTCAATCTGGGGGAAAAAGAACAACTGAAGGGATATATTAAAAAGGAGAACTGCAGGAGCATCTTTACAAAAAATATAAGGTATCATTTCAGAAAAGGTTCCTCTGAGTCAAGAAAACTATGACAGTTTAGTTCTCCCTGACAACATTTTCAAGAAATTAGAGGTAAGATGACATGATTTTGACGAAACGTATAGAAAAGAGACTGTAGGGAATGCAATACATAAACAAAACGAGAAAAAACACCCCAAGATTTACAAGTACTAATAATGCACCCATGAATGCTTTAAAGTATCATCAGCATTCCTCTTCATCTTTGTGTGAACTAAATGTGCAAAGATTACCTTTGCTCTCATAAACTGGTCCAGCAGTATATTGGAAGATTTTATGTCACGGTGCACAACAGGTGGAGAAGCCTGCAATGAGTTGTTTTTAAAAATAAGAAGAAACCAAAAGTAAACCTGTTCCTGTTCCATTCCATGTTCTCCACGTGTAAGCTTACTAAATTAGTAATATTTGAGTAAACTATATACCCCATAATGTAGATATTCCAGTCCCCTTGCAACATCTAGTGCTATGCTAAGCCTCAAATCCCAGTTCAATGGCACGTGATTTTTGCCTATATCATCAGCACAAGTAAAGGTAAATTGAGAATAGAAGAGTTCAAGCAAAAATTCTTATAAGCTCTAAAAGAAAATATGAAAACTGTTTTTCCTTGGATTAACTTTGGTTCAATAAACATAATGGTAAGTTGACTGTATGAGGTTGACAGAAAACAAGCCCATATATAACCAGATTAATCTTTTCACCTCGCATATGCAGTACATCACGTACTACATAGCATGCTATTGTATTTTCAAGAAAGTAAAAATAAACTCCTGTCAGAGGGTACTCAAATGTTAAATTTTTTGAAAGAGAAAAATCAAAGCAAGTCAGATTTTTAAGTTATTGAGATAGGTAAGTTCACTGATATGCTTCACTGAACTTTGACAAATATTCAGGTCAAACTTTTTTTCATGGAAGAAAGAATGAAGAAATTGACATGGAGAACATCTGCTGCATTCTTCAGTTTCTAACTAATTTTGCCTACTATAAAATGACAAGAAAAGAGTTGATCTCCTTCTAACCATATAAATGGGAAGCTAGACTGCCGTTGCTCATGTAAATGTAAAGAAGCATATGCTGTCCTCTTTCTATTGCATAGCCCACCAATTCCACAAGGTTTTTGTGATGTAATCTTCCAAGTAATAAAACCTGCTAACAAGAAAGCAAACTTTGAGAGTATAAATCGTATTACCATCCAAATTCGTCAGATCATTTTAAATCTATGAAGGTGTAAAGAACAGTTTAAGAGTATCTATTTCCAAATTAAAGGGTGTTATCGGTAGAGTAAGTGTGCTTCCACCATTAGTACAAGAAGAAAATAAGTACAAGAACTAATACAGGACATAGTATTGCATTAATGTGTGAAAAATTGTAGTCCTGTACATAGCCCCTACATTAACACAGATCTCATGGCAGCTCAGAAATGATTTGAATGTCTTTTGCCAGTTTAAAATTCAGAAGATATAAAAGGGAGAGAAAATGAAGATAACAGTATAAATACAACTACATACTAAGAAATACCATAGAAATTTATGTCGAGACATTTTTTTAAAGGTACAGTAACCTCCTTACTGTAAAAGATTAAGATACTCCGCACAAACTCGTTATTCTCCCACACATTTTACAACAGATTTGAAGTAAAATTCCTAGAAACTTCAAGGATCAAATAGTTTGGGATTATGCAGTACATATATATGATTTATGGATAATGAGTGAAAGATTAGTAAAATAGGATTATATGGATAACGAGTGAAAGATTAATAAAATAGGATCCTCCTTTGAACGGGAAAAGAAAGATACAGTAACATCACGAGTGTATATTTAATGTAATATTTAGTTTTCTTTTCTCCAATATATTTTCTAGAGCAAAGAATAACATTCACCCTGAAGAGGATCCTATTGGAAGGCTATATACTTAATCAATACTTCCATAAAAGTTAATAGGAAATCTAAGCATATCATCAACTATTACCTCGGTTAAAAATTCCTGTTCTCCTTGTTTTGAATTAGCACCAAGAACTTTAACTGCAACTGCCTCACCTGTAGATATCTGTGCTTTATAAACAGGACCAAATGCTCCATTGCCTATGATAATTGTGAAATTTGAAGAAGCCTTTTGTATATCCCTGAAAAAGGATGAGTTACAAGGTCAAAGAAAGAGAGATATAAAACATGAGCAAGTACAGAACACGAATAACAACAACCAAAGGAAAATAGAGAGATCCTTCCCAACCTCTGCCTCCAAGCCAAAGATAAAAGTATATACAATCCAAAAAGCCAAACTAAAAAATATTCTGAAGGCGTCGGTTTCAACCCCCCACAGTTCTATTCTTTCACAATCCCCCACCGAATTAAATATTTTCTTATCAGTCATGTCATATATCCTAGTCCTTTTTTCTGGTTAGATTTTCTCTCTCCTGTGCCAGAGAACTTGCATTGTTACATTCTCATTGCTTCTAGTATACAGAGAATTTTCCTATGCTCTCTCTTACTCTCAATTAACGCCAACACAGCATTTTAACTGACATTTCTATTTATTTTCCCTCCTCTGTTTTGGTTACCAGATATCATACGCAATTGTTGGACTTGTTTGCTTCTTGCAGCACAGCGTACACACAGGCTATGATCAGAAAAGCATTGAAACAACTGCGCAATAGAAGTTAACATACTTGTAAGAATACTTGGGAATTCCACATATTGAAGCTTCATTCTTCCTCCTAAGTCCTTCCAACCAGAAAGGCGTATTACTCCACTCAGATGTTCTGGGAGATTCCAGACCTTCTGATAATGCTGAGCTGGACTCAGCCCCATTGACATGAACAGGAATGCTCGCTCCTCTCTTAGAACTGACCCTCTTCACATTTTTATGCTTCTTTCCACACCTGATGCAGAATAACAGAGAAAACGCAAAACCCACCCCAACCACAAAGCCTATGCAAATTCCTATTATCAAAACCAAGGTAGTCCAGCTCATTTCAAGCAAACTATACTCTAGCTACTCAATGTCTGCACTTGTACCTGAAAAATGAACAGACAAAATCTTCACAAAACTTATTAGAGCTACCCAACTACGTTGCATGATAAATAACAGAGAAAACATCATCCGCAGCACACTGAGTTTCCATCATTAGAGAACAATGGAACACTATTTGGCACTGCTAATTAGAATTGTATCAACAGGCATGGTTAAGGGTAGTTATACAAATCAGTTTTCTTAATTAGCATTTCTGGATTAAGTTATTTCAAATTTTAAACAGATTTATTATTTCTCCGGGAGAAAGAAAATGCCATCAACATGTATCATGTGCTTCCCAGCTCCCAACAGATTTCTATCAACGAAGATTTTGCAAGCAATAAACTTATTCTAAAAACAAAAGTGGAAGAAGCATAGAAAACCTGAAAATGCAAAAGACTTTAAGAAAGTTGAATTTCAAAATAATGAACGATCCACTTAATAAAAATACTCCAATTGACACTTACAACAAGCAAATTGAGCTCAAAAGGACAAAAAAATTGACACATCTGGCACCAATCATTGAAACAAGTAGTGAGAAAAAAGAAAAACAGAGAAAGAAAGAATAAGAAGAAACAAAAACAAATAGAGTTTCCTTAGAAAGGAGAAAAGGAACATTTTACCTTTAGGTCTCGACGATCATGATGATGTGAATGAAACAGTGACACAAACAGAACGTCCAACAGAAATAACAGTACACAGTAAACAAGACATTCCCTGGAACAACACCGTTACATCAGAATCTCTTAAGAGAGAGAGAGTAATGATGAGGGAATGCAGATTCTTCCATTGTTTAAGCGTGGCGATAGAGCATCGATTGCACACTGTACGGAAAACGAAGTTAAAAGGCGTTGGCTTTTACGTATGAATGAATAATCGGATCCAAGTCACGCGCCGTTTCGCATTCGAAGCTAAGCTACAAATTTTGGAATTCTCTGCCATCTTTTTTATTCTTAATATTACTTAACTTTGACGCGTGTCTTTCCCATTGCTTCATCAAATAATTACCTTTTTTGTTTAGATTTTCTTCCTTCAAAGTAAAAATTTGCATTCCCTACGCTACTCCTGAAGACAAAATCAATCTCCGTTTTTTCACCATGGAATCTCGCTAAACAATTTTTATTGATATAGTGAAAATAGTTAACAAAAATAAAACTATCTCGACATAGGATCTGGATCCTCTCATCTCGATCATCTCACTTTTTAAAATCTCACCATTCATTCATTTAATCATTTTATTTAACTGAAAATCTCATGCAGTAGTGTAGTCACAGCAGAAAATTAATGATATATATATTAATGAATATATTTATTTATATATTTAATATTATAAACATTTTTTTATATTAAACGGAGCAGAAAGCCCAACAAAACAAAACTAGGCTATGAACATAGGTTTTAAAAATCCAAAAGAGTCCAGCCCAAAGAAAAGGAAACTTTATAAAACAGTGAAAGACAATCTAAACTTAAAACTTAATTTAGCCAAACAATTAGCAAATTTTTAAAATATACATGTGACTACTTTTTGTTAGTTTTAATAAATTAGTTATTTATTTCTTATAGGATTAAAAAATTAATAAATAATAAATTTTTGTTAAAAATTATAACACTTAATAATATCCATACATTCAATATTGTAATACTATGTTATTTTTAATAAAAGATTGCAATGCATAGGTTCCAACTATGAGAACTTAACACACATTAAATAAAGTGAATAAGTATTAAATAAAAAAAAGTATGTACATTTATTATTTTAAAATATACAAAGTATTTTATTAATTTTTCATTTAATAATTTAAAAAATTATAAGGATACAATTAGAAGAATTTTAAATTATTTTAAATATACTAATGGAAGGAATACATTGAGAATAAAACTGATAAAAAGGTCGGACTAATCAATTCTTATTTTTTTTTTATTCAATTGATCTTTTTTTTTTAAATCAAATTTGGACTGAATTTAAACGTTTATTTTGAGATTAAAATACAATATATGCTTTTTTTACTAAGAAAGTTTGAATCAAATTACCTCATATGATCGAATAACTCATTTTAACAACTTTAATTGAAATAAGAATTGCGCAAATTCATAGGCTTATAAGAAGACAATAGTTGAGATAAAATACCGCTGAAAGGATCTCTATTTCATAATTTCATTAATAGAAAATAAAAATGTATTTCATTATTTTTAAAATTTAATAAATTTTATAATATAAAAAGGAGTAAGTATATTTTAATAACAAGAAATATTATATTATATTAAATAAACTATGTTAAGGATATAAAAAATTTAAAAATCATACAAAATTTTAATTAAGATCATTTAAAAAAAATATTTATTGTGCATAGTTGGAAATAAATGACAATATAAAATCTATAAAGAAGCTATATATATTTTTATTAATATATTAAAATTTAAACTTTCTTAGATTTTATATTATTTTTAATGAAAACCTACCTTAGATTAGTATTATTCAAGAACAAATGTGTCTATATATATATAAAACAAGTAACTCAAAGATAAGTATAAGTTACAGGGGATAAAATTTTAAATAAATAGATTTTTCATCAAAACAAGAGTGTAAATTTTGTTTTTCTAATTAATATTTAAATAATGAATATAGAATTTTTTGTTATAAAAAATTAATTTTATATACTTAACTTTATTGAAGTATGTAACTTTAATTTTAAATCGGCCTTTTGGTATATGACAAAATATTTATTATTATTGAAACATTGTAGTATCCTTTTTGGTACATCCATAAAACAAATTGTGGAATTTAAGTAAACAGTCGAATACTTTTAAAATTCCTAGTATTACCAATAAGATTTCTTTTTTGCTTGGAACGATGATCATCAATATAAATATGATCAAATCAATCGATTTTCACTAAATTATTGAATAATTATAATCTATATATATTACTAAACTTCTGCGACTAAAAGTATTTTTTCTTATTTTTATCACTTTTACTAAAAATGTCACATTATATTTCTTCTTATTTTTGTTTTCTAAATATATTTTTATTTATTAATTCATTTAATTTTGTTAAATTTTTATTTATTTTAATCTTTATGTTTCTCAACCTTTTTTGTTTTTCTCTTATTATTATTATATTTTCATAATTAAATTAATACCAAGTGACTTTATAGGTAAGGAATAAATAATTTAATATTTCTATCTTTAAGTAAATTTTATATTACTAATAATATATAAATGATTAATAATGTAGAATGATTTATAAGTATCATTCAAGATCTTTTCACTAAAAGTGTCACATGATATTTTTAAAATTTATTATTTTAATATTTTTATTTAGTTCATCTATACATTTTTTAATCTTCTACATTTTCATTTTTCAATTTTTTTCTTATTCTTAGATATTTTATATCCCTTTGAATATTAAATCAATATGAAATAGTTTTAAAATTCTAAATAAATAATTTTTTTGCATACATATGATAAAGAGACAAAAGGAAAAGAAAGGAAACAACTAAACTAGCCTAAGTTGTCCTTATACAAATAACGTTTCTAAAGAAGAGAAAAGGAGTAGTAGAAATATGCATAGCTTTTGGTTGACAAATAAAATTGACTTCACAATGATGCATATTTATGCACCTGATGAACTGAACCCTCATTCAACATGTCGATAATTATTGTAGGGGCAACAACAATCCCAAAACTTGGCTGCCAAAGAATGTTTAACCCATGAAAAATAGTCATTAGTTCAACTTTCGTAGGATCTCCTTCACCATCTTGAGAGGAAAAATCAAGCACCCAGTTTTTCATATGGTCTTCGATAACCATGCCAGCACCAATCTAATTAGTTTTAGGCAAATAGGTCTCATGAACACATATAGTTTAAAGATACCATGGTCTAGGATTCCCCAAAAACAAATGGATATCCACATGCTTCTTATCTTTCCTTAGAGAAAGTATAATACCATCATGAAGTAGATATATAATATTATTGATAACCTTCTTAACCTCCCATTTATGCTCATAAAAAATGTAATTATTCCTCCACCTCCAAAGAAAGGAAGAGGAATCTGATCATTGATGTGTTCAACTTCTTCATCCAATCACCTCTCTAACATGTAAACAACCATGAAGGCAGTGTAAAGTATATTGATCTAGTCCATGAGAGCATCTCCCCAAGTTGGAATCATGGCCATATTGCAATAATAGCAAAGTGAATTTGTTGGGAGAGAATCATGGAGCAAAAGCCAAAGTAAGAGAATAGGTATGCTTGTTTCTATTTTAATTTTTAATTTTTAAAAATTATATTTTAAAATTAATTTAAAAACTGTTTTAAAAATAAAATGAAAATAAAACTTATATTTATAAACAACTTTTATTTTATTTACTTTTAAATAAACTGTTTTTAAAAACAAAAATAAAGGTACTCTAATTTTTTCTACAACTCTCACCTTCCCCAACCATTTCCAAGATCTATTATAATCACTAGAGAGGAGATACTCATAGCCTGAAGAGGCATGATATACTATTTATACTTTCATCCCAGATCCAACAATTCATCCATAGTAGGAGCCAAGATATTAGAAGTGGATTTCAACTCTCTTGTGATCTAGGGAGGGATGTGGTCAAATTAATTAACTTTTGTAAATTTTCTCATATAATATCCTTTTAAGCAAAGTTTATTCTAAAATATATAGATATGAAGAAAGTTAGTAACATACTTTTTTTTATCATATATTTTTTTATTATTAGCTAAAATTTATTTTAAACTATAAAAATAATACGAATTTCACTCTTTTATACTCATAAATTAACATTTCTCTTTTATATTTTTATAATTATAATTTCAATAAATTTGAGTTAATAATAGAAAGGATGTTAAAAAATGCGTTACTAAAATTTTTCTATGAACCTAATCCACTTTATTTGAAATAAGATAAACATGACGTTTAGATACATAATTTATGTAATTTTTTATTTAATAAATTATTTTTAAATTATGACTTATATCTTAAACTTAACAATAAAATTTATTAAGATAAATTAATTTTTTTATTAAAATAAATTAAAAATAACTTATAAAACTCAAACTATTTTTCTTAAGTTTTTTCAAACATACCAAATGACCAATTTCTGTAATAAATTGAAGTATTCCTACATGTTACGGATATAAATAGAGAAACCCTCCGAAAGAATATTTTTATCATTGACATGACTTCTGTAAGTATAAGACGTATTACTGTTGCAAGAATCACTAAGCTTGATTTGATTTGATAGAAAAATAAAATAAATAAATTATTTAAGAAAAACATGAAATAAGTAAATAAACTATAATATGAATTGTTTAATTAGCTATTTTGTTATTTTTAGATATCAATTTTCTTTTTGTTTTAATGTTACAATTGAGGAACCAATCATAAATTAAAATTGAAATTACTATTTTAAAAAACTGGATGGAACCAATCTATTTGATTGGTAAATTTGTTCATGGAATAGTCCAATTAAGCCATTCAAACTATACATCAAACAACCAGCCTAAATTTTGATGATATAGATTTCAAATTCTTAGGTTTATATATCCTTTGATATAACAACGTTAAGGATTTAGTAATATTTTTTATTTTTTGAAGATTTGTGCTCTAAGAGTAGGTTGGGCCAATCCTTAAATGGATCCAAGTCCGTGCTGACAAGTGACAACTACGGCAAAGACAATACTTGGCAGTCACGAATCTTTCCCTTCCCAACAAAGATTAAAGAGTTGGGTTATGAATTCATGCATCGTCATTCATCAAAGGGTTTTCGATTCTATATCCTACGATGAGAAAATTTTGTCCCTTTACGTGGCAACATCCTATGGACAATCAAAATAAACCGTACAACACGAAAGCAATCCTAATAAATTAAAAATTAAAAAAAATTGCACACAATCAAATATCATTAACAATCATTCTCACACACTACTACTCACCGATCTTCTTCACTTTCTTTCCCATTTATCGCACCCCAAACCAATCACCAATCGTAATCGCGTTCCTGTTCCTCTTATTCTCTGTGTTGAGGTTTCTCTCCTCACTCTTCCCTCTCTTTCTCTCTCCCTTCGCTTCCAGCAACACAACCCTGAATTTGGCTTTCGGATTACGATTCTCTTTCTTTTCTTGATTTTTTTTTTTAAATTTTTGTGAGGAAGAGGGTGTGAGGGAGAAGGGGGAGAATGTCGAAGAAGAAAGTTAGTGGCAACACCATGACGCTTAAGGATTTCCATGGCGGTTCTATACCCTCTGATCTCCCTCTACCTTCTGCTCCCGGCGTGTAAGTACCACCCCCTTCATTGTTCTTTCTCTTTTTTTCAGTCGAATATTTTAAATTTTTAATATTTTTCTTTAGTTTGATTTGACTTCGATTATTTGCAAATGGGTACCCCTAATGTTGCTGTGGTTCTGAAAAAAAAAAAGGGTATTAGATAGGGAAATTAGATCTGCGGCTTTTAATTGTGCATGATTTTTGTTTTCTATTGGTTTGATGAGGTTTTTTCATTGATGGATCTGTGTATCAGCCCCTAGTAATGTTCTACTTTTTTCGGTTTTGGGTGTTCCGCAGGACTGTGAGGACTTCGGATCGTTCTGGTTATGATCGACCTTCAACATGGGGAACCCCGATGGGCCGCTCGGATCATTGGTCTCGGCCGCATACGTCACCGGCAACTAGGCATTATGATGACAAAACCCCTTTTCTGTCACACACTGCCCCCATTGGCAGGAATTTTGATGAGGATGAGAGGAAGCCCCTTGATGGTATTTCTGCCCCGCGGAGAACAATCAGTGATGAGAGCATTCGCGTTCCACCTTCTCGTGTTGAGGTGAAGCCTGAGTATGGACTGGGAGGGAGTTCATTGGGCAGGCAAGTGGCTCCAGTGTCTCAGATTTCTGTTGGGACTGGAAATTTTTTCTCGACCAGGGTCACTGCAGCGGTTCACATGGCAATGAATCCTCAGAGTTTAGGAGGTAGTAAGGAGCAGGGAAGTTCCGGTAGTGGTGGTGGTAATTATCCAAATGTATGGTCAACGAGGAAAGAAGTGGCAAGTGTTGTTGAGCAAGAGCAATCTGCTTGGTCTAGTGCTAATGCTGCTTCAAAGTTGGCTCATGCAAGTGCTCTTGAGAAGGTGTCTTCTGGTAGATGGCAGTCAAAGGCAGTCCCTTATCAGACAGATGCTGAGGTGGTTAGATCTTCTGAGGTTGAGAGTAGTAGACCACGTGCCAATGTTTACGGCAATAGTTCTTACAATAGGATGGATGCGGTAGGTGAAAAGGAGTATTATGATGCAATGCTAGCAAGACATGCTGAAAGGGGTTTAGGTATTGATAATCAGATGCAAGATGGTAGGAATGACTTACTGGATTATGAAAGGTCTGGGGTTTCCAAGTATTCAGAAGCACAGCCAAGAAGTGTTTATCATTCTGACGGGGTAATGGTTGGGTCTGATTTGCAACACCCTGTGCCTTCTGAACCAACTGAGCGACCTAAACTGAAGTTGCTACCAAGGGCAAAGCCACAGGAAAGTTCAGAACCTTCTGTTATGGGATATGCACAGGTATTCACATGTTTACCTTTTGAGATTCCCTTCCTCAAGTGATTTTTTTCTTCTGGCAGACAGGGTGGAGCTTTCAGTTTTTAGTATTTATTTATTCCTATATGTGCTTTATGGATGCTCTCTTAATTGCTCCATGATAGGGTTATCGGCAGGTTAATGATTCTGGCCACGTTGGAACTGTTTACCAGGCGCATGGACATGCCAATGTTGTGAAGCCTCTATCAACTGAAAATGAAATTGGGAAGGAGGTAGGACAGCGTCCGAAGCTGAATTTAAAGCCTCGGTCGCAGCCACTTGAACAGTTGGACGGAAACACTGAAAGAGACAGGTTAGTTTCAAGAGACAGTGAGTTTGGGAGTTTTTATCTATGGTATATAATTATATATCTATTTTGTGGCAGTTGTGTTTATCTGTTATTTGGTGAAACGTTGCCACTTGATTGAACCTATAGTAAACTGTAGTCGGAGGCCCACTTCCACAGTAGTTGCTTGAAGATCACAATAGTGGCTGCTCATTACCTAAACTCTAATCCTAATACTATAATACTCCCAACATGCACTGTGAAAGGTGAAAAATATTTTGTTTTAATCTAACTAAATTTTTTATCAGGTCAATTCAAGTTCAAAACTAACTACATTACCTATATCAGATATTTTAGAGATATATGTTGTCTTTGGCAGAGTAAAGTAATACTCATGTTTTTTAACTTTTTTTTTAGTAATAAGTTGCATGTGTTCTTTATGAGAAAAGAGATTGTCCTTCCCTACAAGCCACAACTCCAATATTTTCTGTTTAGAATGATTAAGAAGAAAGGAAAAAGATGTGATTTCCCCACGTACAACACAGTACAAATACGCTAGTCCTAAATTACACAAGCAAAAAATTGTTATAATTTCTAGTCAGTTTTAAAATTTTAATGAAAATAACAAAAGGGGGATTGTGTGCATTTCAGGCCTCTTGTGCATGCATGTGTATGTGGAATCTTAATGCCTTCATTTTTGTTGTCTATTAATTGGAAATTTGGAAAATCTTAGAAGTTTCAGTGTAACTGTGTTAATTTCCAATGGCTATAATTTGGAGAAACAACTATGTGCTTACTACATTCCAAAGGTGATGGAGAGAAGTAGGGAGGTGAGGCAAGGGAGGAAAACAGTTTTAAGTCTCAAAAGACAATTAGATTTGGCACTTGATCCTAGCAAACTTCTTGTATGTCCACAAGATTTATTTGCTTTAAGGAATAGTAGAGTGGTATTTTTATCCAATTAAAATGATGGAAGGTTTTGCATATACTCAAGAGGAAGTTTAGTTTGCATTACCCAGTATATACTGAAAAAAATCATTATCCCTGCATTTTTCAAATTTAGCTGCTCATTAATTAACTCCTTCTTGATGGATCTCATCTCATCCAGTTTCCTCTGTGTCGCCTCCACTCTGCTCCTTGCTTATACACTTATTTTTCATTTTTATAAAATATTTTATTTTATTAAACAAAATTTGAAAAAGAAACTGTGGAATTACATTAATACATCTCACATATGGAAACGTTTTGTGGGTAATAATTGTTTTCTTTCTCTGTGTTTGTATTCTTGGCTCATTTTCAAATTTAGTATTTACTATATTGTAAACTTTTGGAACCATTTTGGAAGATTAGACATAGGGCTTGGAACTGGGCCCTTTAGAAGTATAATTAGTAGCAACAATACAAACCAAGGAATTCAAAAACAACTAAATAGTGTCATTATTGATTATTATGTTTGCTTTTTAATTTCAAATTCATTATTTTTTTATTTATGTTTGCACTTATTCTTGTCATATAAGGAATGCTTTTTGACTGCTGTTGTGAATTGTCATTATTGATATGGTTGTTAGTGAGTGTCATAACATAGAGAATTTCACCCAGTGTTCGTGGCACTTGTGATATTTTGGGACTGTTACCAAGCATTATACAGACATTGAATACTCCCGTTTCTCAATCGTGGCCTACTTTAACGAAATAGTATCTCTTAGAATTCTTGAATCATGTTATGTTCTTCACCTACCTATACTAAGGTTTCTTATTTCTGCTTTTGCTTAAAAGCAAAGTGCATATGAAATATTATGTTGAACTTTGTAATATCTTAATTCCATCTTGTGTCTTTGGTCCATGCTTAATATGATATAGCTAGCATGGGCTACTTTCAGCAAGTTCATTTGGTGAATTATTATTCAATGCTTCGTGTTTAGTAATGGAATTGATGATGCAAATGTTTCAGGAATGCTTTATTTGGTGGAGCACGCCCAAGAGAACTAGTAAGTTTTTCATTTTATCTATTGTCCTGAATGCCAGTTAAATTATGCTTATTTTTTACTATTATTTTTTGTTTCTTTGGTATTATGGTATGGATATCCTGTTAAAGTGTCCCCCTTCCCAATTTGGGTGGAATATTCTAATTTCCTAATTTATGTGCCTTAAAATGTGTCATGTAATGCCAACTGCAGCAACTGGCATCACTTTCTTTCCTTTTTGTTGTGCTTGGCTTCTTTTCATGATAATAATGTTGATAATATTTCCCCCCAGGTATTGAAGGAACGAGGGGTTGACGATGTTGCAATCAACAACTATGATGTGGTAGAGCATTCAAATAGGTAAAGACTTGTTTTGTTTGTCTGTGTACTACCATTTGACTCAAACGGCGATCCAAGTCTGATTCAATGCTTGCCAATAAATTGTGCTGTTTGAAGGGTTGAAAACAATATTTTGAGGGCCGAGAAACTCGCTGAACATTCAATCCAGACTCGACTTGGTGAAAAAACTGAGGACTCTCATCTTGATCCAAGAACAGGCAGAAAGCCTGAAAGGAAGGAGCAAAGGGTAGATGGTGAAAGAGCTCATACACAGAGGAGGAATTGGCGTGGTGATAATCGTAGAAACGGGAGGGAAACTGATAGGCAGCAGGCCTCTGAGAGGCCACCTTCACCCGAGACATGGCGTAAGCCTGTGGAGCAGCCAAAATCATCTTCAGGTGCTGTTGGCATACGCTATGGCAGAGCAGCTTCAGCAGTTGAACTTGCACAAGCATTTTCAAGATCTGTATCAGATCCAAAAGTAAATGATAGGTTTTCAGGTCAAAGGGGTCTGAACACTGGCAACAGGACACAAATGCCTTTTTCACGGCTTGTTGGTCCTACACCAAGGCCTCAAATCAATGGTTATTAAATCTTTGGTGGATAATTGGGACTCATTAGAGAGACCTATTTCTAGGAGACAGCATTTGATTCATACAAGTTGTGGCATTGCGGAGCACCTCATGGAGTGGATGTAGCTTTCATTATTTTCTCCTCATTCATAACCATGAGTGAGAAATTAAAACGGTTACGATTTACATAGCATTAGTTATGACTATACCAATTTACAATCACCATGTTTTATTTTTTTTCCTTCCCCCTTTTACTGCCAAAACATCGTATAATTGTTCGATTTAGTTTCCTCATCATGCAGCCATCTTGGACAATTTATGGATCATGATTAAGGATTTCTAATTTCTAAACAATTATTTAGTACTCAGCATACTGCTGTTCTATCTGCATTGGAGTAAAGCATCAACACAAGCAGTAATTTTTGTCAATAAATCAACTAAGAATGTTAATAAAATACTCTTTTGAAGACAATTTTTTAATATACTTTTTTGACTGGTCTAATTTTTGAAGAGTTAAAATAATATTTAAAAAATGATCAATTTTTAAAGAAAGGGCTTTAATGCTTTTAAAATCAATTATAAGAAGAGAATTAAAGAGTGTAATTAGCATTTGTCTGATGTCGTTAGTTTCAGCTTCTGTTTTTAGTTAAGACTCTATAAGTTGTGAGGACTGATTTGCTTGACAGGTGTTCTTACGTAACTGATGGGTGGATGTGATTTCCAATCATCGCAACTCAGAAAATTAAAAAACAAAAATGGTGCTATCTAATTTTGTTGAATAGAACACTCCTCGTTGAAAAATTTAAGGGGATGTCTACCAAACCTGAAATAAAAATGAGGTTAATCAATCCATTCTAAGTAGACTAGTATAATCAATTTTGGATTTATTTATTTACTCATCTTCAATAACTTAATACTTAGGATACCGATGTTGATTAAGATATATGATAATATGAGTATACTTGTCTAAATTTTATCGATTCACTTAAGAGGTTATTGTTTAATCCCATTTTTACTTTAGATAACCGCAGTCAAATATGAAATTTTTATCCATTAATCAACGTCACACAACAAAATTCGTGTTATAACCTAGGTTTTGACTAGTTCAAACTATTTCAATTATGAAAAAGGTTGTAGCATTGAATTTAATTACATATATCGAAACACTTAACTATGAGCAAAAATAAATTTTTAATTCAAAAGTTGATAATTTTTTTTCAAAATTTAAAATAAACTAATTTAAACACACAATATATGTAAAAAAAAATGCTTCAAATTCGTGATGCAAATAAAAGGAGATTGAAAGTACATAAATGAAGTAAAATAAAAGATTTCTAGCCTAAAAATAATTCGATTTATCTGCATGTTTTTAAGTGAAATACTCTCATGTAAAGGATAAAGGTTCGAATTCAGGAAATACTAGTTGCTTATTATCAATGATAAGGTTAGACAAAAGCCAATCGTTCAGGTGTTTATATATATAATTTTTACGAGTACTTTATAAATTATTATCATTAATTTTATATTAATAAATAGTGAAATTAGTGATTTATTTTAAATATTTTTTTATTTCTAAATATTAAAAAATTACAACCATTAATTTAAAAAAAAAGTATATAATACCCTTTTTAGGATCGTAAACCAGTTATACTTTTGGTCAACAAGATCGTAAGGGGATAGTTTTGGATACACCCAAAAGAATTGTTTGGCTCAAAACAAAAATCTATAAACTTTAGCCTCTTACTTGAGGCCTGATCATTTTGGGTTCATCCAACCACAATCTTCTTCCTATTGAAAAAAATAAACAACAACAACAAATTTCTTTAAGAAAATATTTTGAATAATAAAAACTTTTTATTATTCAAAAGTAAAGCTAAAGCGAGATACTTGTATTGCTCTATATACTGTCCTTTTTTTTTTTTTTATAGAGCCTTCTAAAAAGATTATCTATTAGTCTTTTTTATAAGATTTTTTTACAACTATGATTAACATTATTTTCTATGTAAAAAGGTTTTACTTAAATGAATTTAATTAATTTTTTCTTACGATAATAAAGAAAAAAAAAGAGTAAATTACAACTATTTCTGTTATTGAAGTCATTTTATTAAATGAAAAGAAATTAAATATAATTGTTAAAGCAATATGTAAATATTAATATATTTAATATTACTAAGGGAGGGGGGGGGGGGTGTATATATCCCCAGACAATTGACACGTTATGGGCCAACGGAAACGGCGTCGTGAACTGGTTTTGTGATCATCGTCATCATCACCATAACCAACGACCATCATTGCTTTTCTTCTTCGGTAATCCTAAGTAATTCCTCAGAGTCTCACTGTGAAAAACACGATTTTTGTAGCTTTTTTTGATTTGTGGGTATTTTGATCTTAAAAAGAGGACGAAAAGGAGCAACATGTTGGAGAAGATCGGGTTGCCACCGAAGCCTTCGTTGAGAGAGAATAATTGGGTGGTCGATGCCTCACACTGCCAGGGATGTTCCGCTCAGTTCACCTTCATCAATCGCAAGGTAAATATAAAAACCTTTTGCAATTTGAGAGAAAATCCATGATTTATATTCTCTCCAGAATGTTAGGTTTGATGTGGGTATTTCAAAAAAACTTTAAGTCGTTAACCTTTCTCTTTTAATATTCGTGCACGGTAAAAACTTTGTGTTTGATGTCATTTTGCTAGTTAGTTTTTGGCTTCCCTATTTTGAAGTTTGTGTGTATTTATGATTTTTTTTTAGTGTGGCATGGATAATTAATTTCATATGAATTTTGCAATTTTATTTATTTTCTGGATGAAGAGTGGTTAAAAGTCAGTTCAGTATGTGGCGGGTCTGTTTGGGATAATCATGTTATGGTAGTTGATTGGTTTAATCAGATTAGTTAATTGTATGTAATTGCGTTGATTATGAGATATATTGTGTATAATGATGAATAGATTGTTGCTAAATATTACTTGGGCTTTTTGCTCTGTAAAGCTTTGTTTAAGGGTAGTTCATTTGTTGCTCATTTTCCTCGTAGGAGCATATATGTATGTTTTTGCCTGCTATTCATTCATGTAAAGTTGTCAAATCATGTGGCAGCGCGTTGGTTCTCGTTTAATTGTGCAGTGCATCTGTAACTTCCTAAGATTGGATGACTCACTATATGTGTATGTTATCCAGTTGTAGTCTTTTATCAAACTTGTACTTGGTTATGCTTGTTAATTTCCATAATTTTGAGTGGAAAATGAGATGCTGAGTACTGGAAGATGATCTTCTATGTTTGCTTATTCGTATCTGATTGAACTCAAACTGGATTTTTTGTCCAAAATTTAAATTTTGACAATTTTCTTTTATGTTTCAGCATCACTGTAGAAGGTGTGGGGGCTTGTTTTGCAACAGTTGTACCCAACAAAAAATGGTTTTACGTGGACAAGGTGGTTCACCTGTGCGTATTTGTGAGCCTTGTAAGAAGCTAGAAGAGGCAGCACGGTTTGAGATGCGACATGGACGCAGAACTGGGAGAGGTATGCTTTCCCCCGTGGCTTTCAAGCTGTGCAATTTTATGTTAGAATAGCACTCCTTTATTTTACTCTCTTTATTACTACACAGTTCCATTCTCTTGAATATTTGTTTCAATTTCTTCAGGGAGCTTGAAATCAACACCTAAAGATGAAGATGAGGTTTTGAGCCAGATTCTTGGTCAAAATAAAGAGGAACTCTTTTCATCAGGAAAGCAGTCAACTAGTGACAAAGTTCCAAGCCGACAGAGATCAGGTGGCATGGCATCTTCTTCAAGTACTTCCAGTTTTGATGATGGAGGAGACATACAAAAAATTCTCTCAAATGAAAAGCCCAATATTTTGGGTATTGATTTGGGATCCACCACTCCTGATGAGTTACGTCAGCAAGCTTTGGAGGAAAAAAAGAAGTATAAAATTCTGAAAGGAGATGGGAAATCTGAGGAGGCATTGAGAGCTTTTAAAAGAGGGAAGGAGCTTGAGAGGCAGGCTGATGCTTTGGAAGTTCAATTAAGGAAGTCTCGTAAGAAGTCTTTGCCATCTGGAAACTCGTCAGACATGCACAATAGAGGTATTCCTGTGGAGTCTGACAGGAAAACAAAGTCACTTCCTCATGAGGATAAAGAAAAGCATGATATTACTTCTGAACTTAGAGAGCTGGGATGGTCTGATATGGATCTAAATAATGAAGATAGAAAGTCAGTAAACTTGAGTTTGGAGGGTGAACTCTCATCAATAATTGGAGAACTCTTTGCAAAAACAGGTGAAAAAAAGGGAAGTAGAATTGACAAGACCCAAGTTGTTGCTCTGAAAAAAAATGCTCTAATGTTGAAGCGTGAGGGTAAACTTGCAGAAGCCAAAGAGGAACTGAAAAGAGCTAAAATTTTAGAAAAGGAACTGGAAGAACAGGAACTCCTTGCTGAAGCTGAAGATTCTGATGATGAGCTATCAGCATTAATTCGTGGCATGGATGATGATAAAGAAATTTCAAATGTGTATGATCATGAGAATGGTTTTGATTTTAATCGTCTATTGGCCATTTCTGATGATCTTGATGGTAATTTTGAAGTGACAGATGAGGATATGATGGACCCTGAATTAGCTGTTGCTTTGGAATCATTAGGTTGGACTGAACCTCAAAATACATCTTCCATGTCTCAAACCTTTGACAATGAAACATTAGTTGGTGAAATTCAGTCTCTTAAAAGAGAGGCTCTTAATCAAAAGCGGGCAGGTAATACTGAAGAAGCAATGTCATTATTGAAAAAGGCAAAATTATTGGAAAGGCACTTAAACAGCTCTGGGCCTGAAGACGATAATACCATCTCAAAAAAATCAACTGCTGTAAGGAAAAGTTTGAATTCTGAAATTGCTAGTGATGGATCCAACTCCATTCAATTGGATGAGAGAAATATGGGAAACATTAATGCCACTAAAAATGTTGCTTCCACAGTGGCACCTAAAAGCAGATTGACGATTCAAAGAGAGCTTTTGAGTTTGAAAAAGAAGGCTCTCACATTGAGAAGAGAAGGGAAAATTAATGCAGCAGAAGAAGAAATGCGGAAGGGTGAAGCTCTTGAACGTCAGCTGATGGAAATGGATAAGGCTTCAAATCCTAAAACATCTCGGATGAATACCACTGATAATGTCGCACATACAGCACTCAAGCATACTGATATCAATAGCAATCTACCACTTGAGGATGGAAGTGATAATGATGTAACGGATCAAGATATGTCTGATCCAACATATCTTTCACTCCTTAGGGACTTGGGTTGGAATGATGAAAATAATGAACTTGCTAATTCTGCTAGCAAATCTTTGAGGGAAGATGATAAGCATTTTGTTCCAGTCAATGGTACTCCTCCAACTAAACAATCTACAAATATCTTGGTTGAAGCTCCAAGAAAAAGTAAAGTTGAAATTCAGAGGGAACTCTTGGGTTTAAAGAGAAAGGCCCTTGCTCTCAGGCGTGAAGGGAAAGCCGAGGATGCAGATGACATTCTTAAAATGGCCAAAGCATTGGAAACCCAGATTACAGAGATGGAAGCTGCAAAGAATACAGCACAGGTTGTGGCTCCTATGATGAAAGACAAACTCATCAATCCTCCAGTTGATGAAGAAAAGGACGTGGTTGTTTCAGAAGAGGATATGCATGACCCAGCATTGAATTCAATGCTGACTAGTCTAGGGTGGAAGGATGATGAATCTGAACCTGTGACCATAAAAGAAGCGCCAGTTAGGGAAGCTACTAATAGGTTTACACATACTATGGACCTATCTGTACATGATTCCTCTCTAGTCATTCCTGCTACAGCTTCAAGGAGTAAGGGAGAGATTCAAAGAGAACTTTTAGCATTGAAAAGGAAGGCACTTGCTTGTAGGCGCAAGGGAGAAGGAGAAGAGGCTGAGGAAATTTTAAGAAAGGCCAAGATTTTGGAAGCCCATATAGAAGATTTTGGAAGCCAGAAAAAGGACACACCACTAAATGTTTCCAAGGATGAACAATCTGTTCTGTCTGAATCCTGTGACTTCCAGGAAAGGCATGGAAGTTTGGGTGTTGCTATTGAAGTTGATAATGCTTCAGTCTCATCTGTGGTTGGGTCAAGTAAGAATAGTACCGTAACAACATTTGATTTAGAAAGAATGAACGACACAAATATTCCTTTCTTAAGGAAGTCAGATAATTTAATGCGTGCAACCTCTCAATCTGCAGATGATAAACATACATTATCTGCTGAGGTGAGTGATTCAAGTGAACATCTTTCAAAAAAGCTAAAAGCTGAAAAGACCACGGGTTACAGCTCCTCAGGTGGCCACTACATGCACACGCTAGATTTACTAACTGGTGATGGTTGTAACAGTTCTGAAATATTGACTCAAAAACAAAAGGAAGAAAAACTTGGTTCGGCTAATTCATCTCTAGCTCGTCCTGCTCTTCATTTGGACCCTTCAGTCAATTTCAGCGAAGATACAACTCAAAAGAGAAGAGCAGCGACTGATACAATTGAAAAGTCAAACATAAGCGAGTCAAATGCTGTTCAGAATTATGCTTCTCAGAGCCACCTTTCCTTGCGTCAAGAAATTTTGGCTCACAAAAGGAAGGCAGTTACTTTGAAAAGAGAAGGGAAACTAGCAGAAGCCAAGGAGGAACTCCGACGAGCGAAGCTGTTGGAGAAGGACTTGAAAGATGGAAGTATGCAGCCAGACCCTGCCCCTACCAACAATGTTTCCCATGCATCAAATGTTGTGCAAAAGAAACAAGAATCACCAAATGTTGGTGCAAAACCATTGTCTAGTCGCGATCGTTTCAAATTGCAACAGGAGTCTCTGGGGCACAAACGTCAGGCCCTAAAGCTACGGAGGGATGGACGGATAGAGGAAGCAGAAGCCGAGTTTGAACGAGCAAAGGCAATTGAAACCCAGTTGGAGGAGCTGGCTAATCATGATTCTAAGTTAGATGCCGTAGATGATGTGACTGTTGAGGATTTTCTCGATCCTCAACTCTTATCTGCACTGAAAGCTGTTGGACTTGAAGATGTAAGTGCTGTATCAAAAGGCACAGAAAGACAAGAGACTGTGAAATCCAGTGCTAAAGTTGAAAACCCTAACCAAGAGAAAATTCAGCTAGAAGAAAGAATCAAAGAAGAAAAATTGAAGGCAGTTAGTTTGAAACGTGCCGGAAAACAAGCTGAAGCCTTAGATGCCCTTCGACGTGCCAAACTGTATGAAAAGAAGCTGAATTCAGTTCAGTAACATCTGCGTGATGATGAAGTAAATACTGCAACTTCAAGGTAGCAAGTCCTCGACCCTTGTTCAAATTGTTAGTTACTTTTATGTTATTTTAATTTGTGAACTTTTGCTACCATTACATGCATGTTTGCTTTGTGTTCATAAATATATACATGATCATTCGAAAGTTAACAATTTTCAGATGTGATTCTAAAGATTAATAGAATCAGTTTATATAATTTGTTTACATTTAGTGTTTTAAAATTGGACACGTTGCTTTGCCGCAGATCTAAGTTATAGGCAGTGTTTTAGCCATCTTCCATTCGATAACAAGATAAGGTCTGAAGATCTATTAACTGATTCACAACATCGTCTAAGAGTTCGATGCAGGATCGAGAAATATGGGCCAGTTTGTTTTGAGAAACGTTTTCTGATTTCATTTCTTGTTTTAATGAACAATGATAAAAAATGTTGTATTATGTTTATTGTTCTATAACAAAAGGTTTAATACAATTTATATCCCCTATGCCCACTGTGGCACCGTATGCTTTTATTAAGTTGAAGAAATAAACACATTGAACTCCTATTCAACCATGAAAATAATCTAGTCTCTGCACCAAACTTGGGGTGTTTCCTTAACAAGGAGTTTCCTCCTTCAAACATTTACAACTTCAACAATGCTATTTTAACACTTGGGTATAAACTGTTTTTTAATTTGTACTGAGTACACATTTTTTTCTTTATTTTAATTAAATAATGTAAAAAAGAAAAGGAGATTTCGTGAAATGAGGAACAAGCAACCTGCTCTTGCTGCCTGTAAAAATGGCTCCTGTCACTTGCAAAAATTCTATCAAAAATAAAATTGCAAGAATCAGAAAAAGAAGCAACCAAGCGTAAAGTAAGAGAGATATAAAAAGGGGAGCAAGTGCATTAGGGGGAGGTTGGTTGAAAAGGAAAAAGAGAGAGAGAGAGGGAGTACCAAAGAAAATTAAGAGATAGAACAGAAAAAAATAACGAATTTTTGAAAGAAGGAAAAAATCAACAAGAACTAATAATCAAAGAAGAAAAAAGTTTAGATAGGGAAAGCAAGGCTAGGAAAAATTTGAAAGGAAGAATCAAACACAAAAATTAAGTAATTTCTTTCGTTTATTATTATGAGTTGTATAAATTGAGTTTAATTTTTTTTTTTTGTTAATGTTTGAGATTGCTTGGATTTTGTTTCGAATATTCTTACCATTTTTTAACATAGATTGAAAATATGAAAACATAATGCATGTCAAACACAAAATTTTAAAGTCCCATAATGTAAAATACAATGCAATGTGTAAGGCACTTAATGCACATTAAAAAAAAAGAGGAAACAGGAGAAGTGATAAAAAATAAGCTCTAAATAGTAATCTTCACTTTACCTCCGTTGTGAAGCCATGGCCTTCATTAATCAAGCTTCACTATGGAGTTCTAATGACTCAACTGACACATCTCCCAAATCACATCTCCCTTTTATTTCCATATATATCACCCCACCTTGCTAGACGTCCAACGAAAACCCAACGGTGACCATCACCTTCCTATTTTGTTCTTTCCTTTTACTCATTGCAAACAACAAACTTTTTCTCAAATGTTTGGTATCTTTGATTTTGCACCATAAATGTTGGAGGTTTTTTTGCCCTTTTGGGGTTATTCTGAAAATAAATTATCAAAATAGAGTTGCATGCAAACAAATTTTTGGTTTGGGGTGGACGGGTGACGTGGCAGCAAAATCTTCTGGAACAGGGACGACACATGTGATAACGTGGCCAACTGTGAGAGTGTCGTCCTATTAGTAGCCGATGCTCATGAAATGTCGATACATGTTACTTCAGGAACTTGTGTCGTCCATTTTGGGACGATTTTAGTGGCGTCCACAACAAAGACGACTCCAATGTCGTCCAACTAAACCTTCACACAATAACTGTGGAGGTGGGAATCAAATGGAGCTGGAGAAGAAATAGCAACCAGAGTAATAAGGTTAGATTTTAAGCATTATAAATATATAATTTTTTTATTGGCTATTAAAAATTTATATTTTGAATAATAATATTTATTTTATATTTAGATAATATTTTAAGTGTTAATGTTGTAATTTAATTTTTTTTTATGTTTGAAAATAAAACAGATAAAATATAATGTTAAAAAAATAAATATTTAAATATTTGTAATTACAAATGAATTTTTAAATATAATTTTATTATATTATAAAATAATTTTTAAATAAGCTTGGCTTATTTTTAATGCAGGATGAATGAAATTGTTGTTATATTATATTCAAATGGTAGAATATATGAAGGGAATGAGGGTATAATTTTTTAAGGGAAGAAAAAGATGATTAAAATAGAAGAGAGATCACACTTGAGATGTTTAAAAGGAAGATCCACACAAAATTGAAATTGTCTAGTTGTCGCTTAATTTCTAGATTAATTTCACGAATTTTAGTTAGGACAAATGGTTAATATCATACAACTCTGGATGTATGTGACGATGAAGACATAGATTGCATGATAAGTGCGTGTCAACAACCACATCATAGGAATGTAGTTGAGATATATGTGGATGTTGCGGTCGGTGAAACATATTTTGTTGTGGCACGTCCGGTAGAAGTGAATTTATCACTCTCACTCAATCATGGAAGTGATGATAATGATGATTATGCAACAACAGAAGGTAATATGAAGTTGATAATTTAAAATTTTTAAAATTGATGCTGCAAATACTATTAATAATATAAGTTTACAATGTACGATTTACAGATGAATATGAAGATGAAGAAGATATTTTATTAAATAATTTTTTTGACACTAAGACAGATGATGATTGTGATTCAATGATCAATATGGAGGGTATTGTAAGAGTTAGCTCAAAGCAACAACAACATAGAGATATGATTTTAGATAGTGATTTAAAAGATAGATTTTCATAACTTACATATGTAGTAATATATAAATTGTTAATGAGTGTATAAATTTGACGAATGAATTGTTGTAATGTAGAAACTACATTGCCCTCTTGGAATATAACCTCACATTACAGTCATATTAATTAGGAACACCCTGATCAAGAATTAGATTTTCTTGGTATGAATGACGTGCAATCATGGAAGGAAGGAGATGCATTATATGTTGGACAACTATTCAACACTAAAGAAGATATAATAATGGCTATAAAACATTATACCATGAGGAAACATCAAACTTTTTTTTGTGGTGGAGTCAAAAGCAACAACATATGTTGTGAAGTGTGTCAATCACAATAGTGGATGTCCTTGGAGAGTTCGAGCATCGTTGCCAAAAAATGCAGACAAGTGGAAAATTATAAAGTGGGGTGGTGCCCGTACGTGTGTACATCCTTCAATCTCTCAAGAGCACCAAAAGTTGGATTCCAAATGTATTTGCTCATGCATTCTTGGTATGTCAAATCTTATATTAAATTTTAATATTTTGAAATAGAAAAAAAATACTAATTTTCATCCTATTACATTTCAACAAATTGAAAAACTCCTTTATTATTATCGTACATGTAGGTATGGTGAAAGAAAAACCATCAGTGCCTATTTCGTTACTTCAAGAGAGAATTAGTGGTCAATTTGGATATTCAATTTCGTACAAGAAGGCATGGAAAGCAAAACAAAAAGCAATAGTTAATGTATTTGGTGATTGGGACGAATTTTATGTTGCATTGCCAAGGTGGTTAGAGTACATGCAATTACATACTCCTGGATCTGTATACAAAATTGAAACAAATGATTATGTTGAAAGTCACATCGTGGATAATAGATATCAAGTTTTTCATCGGTTGTATTGGTCGTTCAAGCAATGTCATGAAACTTTCAACTTTTGTAAGTCTATAATACAGGTTGATGGAACATTTTTGTACGGTAAGTACCGACAAACTTTGCTAATTGCTACAACTCAAGATGGAAACAACTGTGTGCTTTCCATTGTGTTTGCCATTGTGGAAGGAGAAACTTTATCTGCATGAGAATAGTTCTTAGCCATGATTCGTATAAATGTGACAAATAAGGTAGGACTTTGTTTGATCTCAGATCAACATCAAAGTATAAAAGGTGTAGTCTTTAACCCACATATGTTTATCATGTTTATTGCATTCTTCACATTGCAAGCAATTTTAATCGACGATTCAAAAATACCATATTGAAGAAAAAGCTAATTCAGTTAGGTATGTATTTAAACATTTGATTCATTTATGTTTTAATGTATTTTGAATATTTAACCTTTACATTTTACCTTTTTCTGTTAAATGCAAGATATACACCATCGAAACAAATATTTGAATCAAAGCTTAATAGGTTTCGATCATAATCACCTAAAATTCAGACTTGGATAGATAATATATCAAAGGAAAAGTGAAGCTTGACTTATGATGATGAAGGACGTTGTTATGAACACGTGACTACTCATTTGTGTGAGTCCGTAAATAAAGTTTTGAAAGGGGCAAGAAACCTCCCTATTACTGCCTTGGTGAAAACTACGTATGCACGATTGGTAGAATATTTTGTGAAACATGCTGAAATCGCATTGAATGAGGTAAATAATGGAGGAAGATACTGTTAGAAATCAATGGAAGCTATGGAAAAAAAAATCAATAAGAAGCATCTTTACATCAAGTTCGGCAGTATGACACACAAAGAACAAGGTTTAAGGTTGAGGCTTTTAATCTAGTGACACAAAGTGGTGGTCATAAGTGAACAGTCATATTATCTACACATTATTGTGAATCCAGGAAATTTAGGGCATTCCGATATCCATGCTCACATGTCATAGTTGTTTGTGCTCATATGAGTATAGACTTTTGGCAATTTGTGGATCCTATTTATACTTTACAGTATGTTGTGAATGCATATTCATCTCAATGGTGGCCTCTTGGTAATTAAAATAATATTTTACAAAATAATGAGTGGAAGTTAGTACCAGATATAAAAAGAGCACAAGGTAAAAGAAGACCAAAAGCTACTCGAATTAGAAATGAAATGGATCGGGTCGAGTTACAATCACGAAAAAGATGTAGGTTGTGTCAATAACCTGGTCACAACCAACGTCATTGTCCTCAACATCTCCTAATCATCACCAGATGTAGGAGTTTGTTGCGTTCCACGACAAATTGTTGTTAATGTTATTAAAGTATTAACGTTTTATTAACGTACCTTGTTGTTAATGTTATTGAAGTATTAACTTAGATTGTTGATAATGTTATTTTTGTATTAACGTAACCATTGTTAATGTTATTGAGGGTGTAACGCATATTTCTTTGTTAATATTTTAAATAACACTGTTTTAGGTAATATAGCAACATCGATTATAGATAGAGTTCGTCGACAAGTAATATTAATAAAAAGTGCAACATAAAGAAATATAAATAGATAAATAACAAGACATCAATTTGAATCTAAGGATTGGTCCAGATGCCCTACCTCACGAGGTGTGAGTATGCACTGTCGACGACGATCTCGTGCTTCACGATAAGGGTTGTGACGCACATCTTGTACCTCCGCATCAGCAACAACAATAAATTATGCATTAAGATCAATGCTATGATCCACACCTACTTGGACTGATGATGTTTTCCATCCCTGCCCACTCTAATGACCTCCTATAGCCGGTGCATCAGGTGTAAAGAATGATGACTCATATGGAGGAGGTGCATGTAAAGGTTACCCTCGAGGACATAATATTGACCACCGCTAAATGGAGATGCAGGAGGTTGTGAAGTGTACTATGATGAGTGAAAATAAGATGTTTGAGTGACTTGAGAAGGGTGGAAGGAAAACTGTGGTGGGACATAATAGATGTCGTCTCTGCGTTCTGACAAAGGGGGAAGTGACCACACTGTCGCCTGTAAATTGTCCCATCTAAACATGTAAGAACATAAGTACAACATGTAATATGGTAAAAAGAAATATTAGTAATTATTACCTTTACTTCTGTTCGCCGGCGTTGCAA